GAATCAGCACTTACAATTTTGATATTCTTTTGTACAGCTCAGTGTCTAAGAAGTCCCCATGTGAAGAAGCTACTACTTCTGTAATACAAAGAGAAAGGGAGAAAAGAATACAATAAGATCAAGTTTGCAATGCAAGAACCCCTGCTGTCCTGCCATGTTCCGACTCTCAGGTTAAAACCTGCCTGACAATGACTTGATTCACTGCCCAGCAACTTTAGCTCACGTGTTTCAGATCCCTCCACCACAAAAACACCCAACCGACTGATCTTACTAACACAGAGAGGGAAAATACAGAAGCAAAATGAGAAAGGAGAAGAATTAGAGAAGGAAAAATAAAATAGACACTGCTGGCATAACCAACCACAACTACTTCTAGAGAACGGCAGACAAACAGACGGTAACCCATTACGAGTTAGACATATCAGTCACAAATATGCAGTTTTATTTATGATATTTAGAAGCATAATATAAGACGTCCCTCTACATCAGAGCCTCTGAACAGCTTACAAAGGATTCCCAAGAATCCACCCCTTATAGCAGGGGTGGGAAGAGTGTAGACTGGAATCTACTGATAGATCTCTAGACAATTTGCAATAAATCAGCAAGCATTCCTGACTCCCAGTTGTTTAAAAATAGCAACAAGATGACTTTTCACACCTAAATTAGGCTGCAGAAATGAAGAACGCTAACCAGGAATGCACTTTTCGGTGAAAGGGTTGTGAGCATAATTCAGTTATGGTACTGAAAACCAATTCCTGGGCTCAGAATGTACTCAGAGGCACCCTCTTCTTTAATTATAACTGTATGTCTTTTGCTCCTGGCTCTGGTTAATAGATATTGGGACTCTAATAAAGAACAAAGAATATTTGCCAAGTCTGTAGTCTGTCTACTCTTTCCTGATAGAGCCAATTCTGCTTCGTACTTGTGGCAAAAGTGTGCCAGGGACTTTCAGACCATTCTCCAGGCCAATCAATCTCAATTATGATAAACTAACCATCAACACTGGGACACAAACCTCTAATCAAATTTTGCTATTGGAATGTGAGCTGGTGGGCAATGTTACCTCTTGAACTAGAGAGGTATGGGTCCAAATTCCTACTTAGGCATGAATGCAGATTGTCTTTTAAGTTAACTGTGCTCTTACAACTTCAGCTCCCCTTCATTATGTACAAATGTTAATTATTTAAACAAAGCTTCAATGAGAAGTTGTTACAGAAATAAAAACCATGAGGAAATCTTCTAATCTGTGTCAGAGTTACCACAAAATGTAAACCATGGAATCTGTTACCTTTGAATAAATGCTAATACACTTTCAAAGCACAGTGTTGGGATTATGTGAACAGATACTCATTATGATGGGATATAAGGGGTTGCATCGAGTGGAGGCACAAGATGATGATGAAATTACTAATAGTGAAATCAAGTGGGGAATGCCAGGAAAAGTAACAAGAACACAGAGAAATATGAGAGAAGAATTAGATCATTCAAGGGAACTCCAAGGGTTGCAGATATAAAACAATTTAAAAACAAAAACCGCCAATAAGGGCAGAAAATTCTCAGTAACCACAGAATATTGTTTGTGAAAAGGAGGGCAGAAATGGTGTGTGTGTAGAAAGGGAATGGCCTGCTGGAGGAGGGAAGCCATAGTTACCTAGCTGTAACCCCATGTGCATTTTCCTATTTCCCTTATGGCTACTTTCATGCATAAAGAAAAGGGTCATCATGAATACCACATCAACTGTGGTTTTAAGTTCTGCAGCTTCTCTTTTACTTCAAAGCATTTGCTTTATGAAATGGGGAAATGCATAAGGTATTTTATAAGTCATTTTTAAAACATATGCCTTGCTGTTAAGCAAGTGTTCACCATTTCAATTTTAGGTTCCCTCACTTGGTTATGTGTGACCCAAAAAAACTATAGACCGAAGAAATCAAAACACAGGTATATTTTAAAATGAATACAAGTGGCACATGCAGATTGCAATATTTCTGAGAAGTTGTTTGATTTTATTAACATGTGCAAGCACACTTGGAGCAGCTTCAGACATTGCAAAACCCCAACACGGAGCTACTTCTGTGTGGGAGTTAACAAATACATAGATCATCAAAGAAAGTGGACAACACATATGTATTGTAATGCATGTGTACACTTTCTTGTGCACCCAGCTGCTATAATCACTCAGCTTTCCTGTGAACACATAACAAAGTGCATACATGCACTGTGATGGTATAAGCTATAAACATAGGAGCCAACTCCTACGAACCAATTAACAGTCTTCACTGTGCCCATAGGTATACCCTGGAAGGCTAAGAAAAGAAGGGAATCCACCCTTGAAGAATATTAATTTAGTCATCTCCAACAGCTGGGAATCGACTCTGTATTACGTGATCTATGAAGAATGGACCCCATACAGAAACAAGATTTGGGGCAGGGAAGCCAATCTTTTATCAAAATATGTGGAAACAAGAGAAGAAAGAGCATACTGGTCCCAATTATGAGGGCAGGGAACCACGTGGAAGCTTAAGCGTGTGGGCAACAGCAGAACAAGACACTTCACCTGCCCCCAAATGAGAGCTCTTCCCTCTTCCATACTACTGCAACAGGGGTGCAGGAAGGGGAAAGAGCTTAACAACAGAAAAGAGGAGTGGGGGGAGATGACTAGAGCAGGAAATGCATAAAACTGCCTCCTGAGCAGCGGCACCTACCTACTTCCTCCCGCCCCACCCTGCCCCACCCCAACTCACCTCCACTGTAAACGGGGCTCTCCTCTTCCCATCCCAGGTACGTCCCCCTATCCCACGTACACAGAAAAACAGGTGCGCTCAGGCCCCCTTCTCCCTAAACACGCCCCCAAGAGCGCCCCACAGGCAGCCTCCTCAAAAGTCCCCCTCTGCACCCCAACACGCCTCCCTCCCAGTCATGTTTGGCCACCCGACCCCAGGCAATGCCGCCAGGTCCTCTCCCACCGCCACCCCAACTTCGCACCCTGGCCGCTCCCTCCCTATCCTCAAAGGGCGCAGCCTAACTACACAGCGCGGGGCGCAACGGAGGCCGGACCCTAAAAAGAAGGGAGCGAAATAGCCCCCGTTACCTGAGCGGGGCGACCGCCTCTCGGCGCGCATGCGCCACCGAGTCAGACTTCGCCCCGCCCTCTCCCTACTACGCAGGCGCACCGTCCTTTATCTGCCCGGTCCCACCTCCAACCACCTTGCGGAGGACGGCTTCTGCTGGGTACTAGTGCGAGTTGAGTGCGGATGAAAAGCGAACGGCATAGCCGAGCCGGCCTTACACGGGCATATATGGGGGGAAAGGAAACCTTCAGCAGAACTGGCTTCCCGCAGCCAGTTATTTTGTAATCTACCCCAGGATTAGAAAGTACGGAAGCAGATGTAATTTTCACAGCCCGATCCACTGTATTTACATCCCACGCGCTTTTTTACCTGGGGGAAGCTCTGTTAAACATATTGCGGCTTACTCCAGAGTCGTACTACAGGGCTGCAGTGTCCTGCGTACGGGGATCTTAAGCCCTTCTTATGGAAAACTCCTGTACTAGTGAAAGGATCCACATAATCTGCCTCCAAGATCCCTAATCAGTTGATCCCCGTTCCTAAGACCTTGAAGTAGCCTGTGTAAAAGAAGCAGTTACCACCACGAGGCAGGAGGGATCCTCCATGTGCTTTTACACACTCACGCAGCATAAGCGTGAAGAAACCCTAGCTGCAAATTAATCCATGCAATTAAATCAGATTAAATCAATCAGCCGGTTTGTCGTCCTGTGAATGTGTGCTCTTCATGTACCGCTGCGTATACTCACTGTTAGATAAGAACAAACTGTTGACGTTTGGTTCGCTCGCTTGTAGTCAGCAGATTTGCACAGATTTGCCACAGGAGGCTGTTCCTGCTCTGCAGATAGTCTGGGCGTGTTTGTCATTCCAGACTTTTTCCTGCCTCTGCTTGTTTGCTTCTGAAGAAGAAATAAATACAAAGACGGGAAATGTGCCCCACTCTTGGCAAAGCAAGAAACCTCGTCTGAGAAGTGTTGCTGCCTCCACACACATTTGTATAGTTCAGACACACCATCCTTAAGAACATAAGGACAGCCTGCTGGATCAGGCCAATAGCTGATCTAGTCCAGCATCCTGTTTTCATAGTGGCCAACTTGATGCCTATGGCAAACCACCAAGCTGGGCCCAATCCTTCCTATTCCCCACTGCTCCTATGCAGGTAAAACTAAGGTTGCAGGAATACAATACAGTAGTACCCTGGGTTACATACGCTTCAGGTTACAGACTCTGCTAACCCAGAAAAAGTGCTTCAGGTTAAGAACTTTGCTTCAGGATGAGAACAGAAATCGTGCTCTGCCGGCCTGGCGGCAGCAGGAGATCCCATTAACCAAAGTGGTGCTTCAGGTTAAGAACAGTTTCAGGTTAAGTATGGACCATTGGAACGAATTAAGTACTTAACCCGAGGTACCACTGTATTCTCTGAGGCAAGACAGATATGCACCCCAATCCTATGCACCTCTACTCAAACATAAGTTCCACAGTGGTACTAGAAAGGGTGCACAGGACTGAACCCCTTTTTGAAGTAAACTTTGGTGGAGGTTTTATTAATGAGTTTAAGAAAGCAGCCTGATCCTATTGGAAGAAAATTCAGTTTATTTCAGTAGGGTTTATTCTCGAGGCTAGGAAGCTGCTTTTTGTGTACTTCAGGCCATGAACGTAATTGTTTGTGGACTGCACACCATGTTACTACAAGTTTAGACTGCCATCTTTACCCTAAGGCCGCTTTCCTGTGAGGCCCACTCAAGCAGGGGGACTATGACTGCACTGTTCAATAAAGCCAATGACTGGTCTCCTGTCGGAAAACCCCAACGAAGCGTTCTGCTGCTTTCAACAATCCTATGTTAACACAGTGCTAAAAACCACTGGCTTGTGATTTACTTCCACGGTAAATTGCAGTGTTATACGAAGTAAACGCCGCTGAGCACCATGGGACTTACACCGGAGTAAACATGCATTGCAGGTAATGCAAAGCGGGTAATTTTGAGGGGCCAAAGGCCTGCTGAGTCCTCTCACCCTTCGTAGTAAATACTCTGCGACCTGCCTCTAAAACTTAAACCGCTTAGAGATTCCGTCGAAATATGAAGCGCTATACAAGTGAAAACTATTGATGATAATGACGTGTCTCTTCAAAGCGGGGCGGAGCTGTAAAGCAGGCCCGGCAGGGCTCCTGCTCTCCTCTGCCTGCTTCTGCACTCCGGAGCCGCAGCTCAGTCGGGGCGGTGAGATTTTTAACCTCATCGGGCAGGGACGGAAGTAAGAGAGCCGGAGGCAGCTCGGGCTCTGCCGCCGAGGCCCGGCCGCGGAAGCGACTGCGCCCGGAAACGAGAGGCCTCGTGATTGCAGTAACTGTGCGGGGCGCTGTTGCTTTCGGACCTGGACGGGGAGAGGCGCCGAGGTTCTCGCTGTCCGCGCGCCCAGAGCTTCGCTGGAGAAACGCCCGGGTCGACCTGCCTGCACTCGGCGCGGCGCTCGGCCTCCTTGGGGCGGACCCCGGGGCGCCTAAGGGAGAGCCGCTGTCAACTCTCGAGAACGCGCGAAGAAGGGAGGAAAAAGGGAAGAAGCGAGGCGGCGGGAGGAGGACGAGGGACGGAGCCCGGGAGTGCCAGGACCTGACCGCTGCGGAGGAGCAGAGGAGCAGGGCGCGCAGGAGCTGGCGGACTAGAGTTAAGGGGACTGGGGAGGCGCCAGAGGCAGGCAGCGGGGCCCTCCTCGAGGACGTGGAAGTGCCCGGCGAGAGCAAGAAGGGCGTCGAGGGGGGATATAGTGGCGCCAGAGTCGGCGGGGAGACCGGGCGAGGCGAGGCTCCCGGCTCGAAGAGGCAGGGCGCGTTGGTGAGGCGCCGCCAGCTTCGCCCCGCCGCGGCGCGTCCCGCTGAGCTCCTTCCCCATGTGGTCGCCAGCCGCGGCGGACGCCCCGAGATGAAGCTGCGGCAGATCTCGGACTGGAGCGACTTCGTCCGCGGCCGCTGCCTGCGAGAGCTGCTGGAGCAGGGCCGCCCGGGCGAGGCTCCCAGCCGCCTCTTAGCCAGCCCGGACAGGCAGCATCTGCTTCTGTTTTGGAACCAGCCGGCCTCGCAGGCTCGGGTTGTGGCCTTCCAGCGCCTGGGCGCCGACGGGGCTGACCTGGAGAGGAGTTGGCAGCCTCCTCAGCCGCCCGTGGTGGGACTGCTTTTCCTGGAAAGCCCCGCGACAGCTGTCTCTTGGGTGCTGACGATCATCTGGGAGCACGGCAAGACTGAACTCTGGCGGTTTGTGCCCGCAGTGGGGTGGCACTTGCTGCAGAGCCTGGAGCTGTGCCATGGAGCTCGTGCCCGGGTTGTCTCCATCTGCAGCTGGGGGGCCCAGCTGGTGTGGTGTGAGGAGAGGCCCCCCTTGGACGCCCAGCTAACGCCCGAGAGGAGAGCCTTCAGGTACTGCATCTGCACTAGACGCCTTCAGATCGGGGAGCAGGGAGCCCAGCTGAGCCCCTTAAGGATTGTCTTGCACAACAGCCCTGTGTACCGAGTGCTCGCCTCACCCTCTGGTGTTTTCCTGCTGCCCACTCCAGCCACCTTCCAGGGAGTAGCCAAGTTTGTCCTCATCTGGCGTCCCGAAAATGCTGACATCATCATTGCTGCTCCATCCAAAGGCTGCATTTGTACTAAGGCTTTGCTTCCAGGCAGTGAAGTGGACTTCAAGAAGCTGCTCTTGGGCTGTGTGGGACTCTTGGCAAACATGGACCCTTTGGATATCCATAGCTGTGTGCTCTCGGGTCGCAGGGGGCTCCTCCTGGTTAGCACGGCAGGAGCTGTGGAGCTGGTACAGCCCGACGGAGTGTGGAGACCCATCTTTGACTTTGGGGGAAGTGCCTTGGCCCCAGGGGAGCAGGTCCAGCTGAAGGTTTTTGGGGACACCCTTGCCTGCTTCTTTGGAGGGGCTCTTTATCTTGTGGACTTGGGCAGCAGGCAGTTGATAGAAAAGAAAGTCCTGAGCACGGAGGAAGTGCTTTTTTTGGACTTCCATGCTGAGGAGGAGGAATTGCAGCTCCTGGGTCCAAATGGCATCTACAGCCTTGACTTCTCTGGTACCGACAGGGAAGAGCCCACCCTGGTGGAGATGGTTTTTGAAGAGGCCTGCAAATACTATCAGCGGCGGAGCCTCAGCAGCTCTCAGCTCACCGTAGAGAAACTGAAAAAGGGAGACGTGTTCCAGGCTCCCATTGCACTCTCCTCCATCCTGTGCTATAGCCTGGCTTCCAAGGATAAACGTCCCAGGGCCCTCCCAGAGCCTTACGCCAAACTGCTGGCCACAATGCAGCTGGAACTGCAGAGCTACCAAAAGCTGGAATTCCTTAAATTGTGTGTGGTCGGGGCCTCGGAAAGTGAGGTGGAGAGCTATGGTGAGGCGCTCGTGGAGCAGGAGCTCGGTCGTCTTCTACACTTGGACTTAAACAAGGAGAACCTGGCCTACCTGAATGCCATCTTCAGTTCCTTCCCTGGGGCCTCTTGGAAGGCCATCCAAAACCACCTGCAGCTACAACAAAACGGGGATGGAGTACTGGTTGCCAGAGCTACTCCAGATGTGTGGAAGAAAATCCTGGGGGGATCAGTGCCCGGCCTCAGCAAGCAAGAGGAGGGGCCTCTAAATGGGATGGTTCCACTTTTTGAACTCGTCTGTCTCTCGCTGCACCAGTTCAAGCCCAAGTGGCTGCCTCAGTTTGTGGGGCTATCCCAAGAGTACATGGGTGCCTCTTGGACTTATGGCAACAAGGAGGGCCCCGAGGGTGCTGTTCCCCTCTACAAAAGGGCACTGGCTGTGCTGCCAAGGAGGAGCAGAGGCTCTCTGGCAGATGGGGAAATGGAGATTGAGCTCCTGCTATGCAGCCAGCGGCCCAAAGCCATCCTGCAGGCCATGGACCTCCTTATCCAGCATGGGAGATGGCAGCGTGTGATGGAGGCTGCAGAAAAGTTCTCCATGCTAAGCCCTTTGCTGAACAAAGAGATCTTCACCATCCTTTTGAGAGAGTGCTCCCAGCATAGGGACCTGGACCCTTACTTGGACAAGCTGTGGGAACTCTGCCCTACAAATCTGAGTGCCTCTGACATCCTGAGCGTTCTTCAGCAATACTTACCCCCAACAGAACTTGATCCTCCTCCCTTTCTCCCAGGTGGGTCATCCCAGCTGACTGTTGGCCTGCTGAAGCCCCTGTTGCACAGACTAGCCCAGGGCCCACCTGGCCAGGATGAAATCTATGCTGTCTTACAGAGTCCATCTTTCCCACCACCAACCCCACCCAGGCAAAAGAAAGATACCCCAAAGGCAGCTGCCCAGGAGGAGTTAACCCCCTTTCAGAATCACACACACCACTCATTGCGTGAGGTGGTATGAAGCTTAGAGGTGGGGACAGGCAAAAGGGCATCCACAGTAATTGGGCCTGGTGGGGGTCAGGAGCCTCCAACCTGTGTATCCACTTAGGCCCTGCATCAGCAAGCTGCCTCTGCCAGAGTGGGAGGTAAATCCCAAAGTTTATTGCATTGCCAATGTGTTTTTTGGAAGAGTGCAGTTCTTGTAGCAAGGGTTGGGTGTTTCTGGTGCCTTAAACAAGAGCAGATAAAGTCACATAGGAGCTACACTATTGCTCACACAGTTGAGACTAGCTGAAGAACTGCTGCTGGTGTGTTCCCTTCCATTTGTGAATGATGCTGGTGGGCTTGGGTTTTGTTAAACTTCCTCTACGTTTTGGTAAAATGCTAGTCTACATGCATCTGACGTATTTGCATGCGAGCTTAGTGTCACTGGGGAATTGCCTTGCTTTGACTACCTTAAGGATGCGCATCTTGAACTTCCATCAATATGCTTTAGTAGCTACCTTTTAAAGTGCAGGGATTTCTCCTGGCAATATGCCATCCTGTATGTTGCCAAGTTTCACTGACCAGTATTACTTCCCCCTGAGACCAGCGTTTTGGAAAGTCCCTGACGGAAAGCATGTCGTCTGTCTGCTTCTCTGGCTGATAACCCACAGCTCACTCCTCTGATGTGTTTAAACATGCATTATTTACCTGCAACTGGGGAAGCCCCACTGTGCACACCTTTGTCCCCTAGAGTGGTTTTATCTTTTGCTTTTTATAAAAAAAGAAAAGTGGAGGTTGTCAATAGAAGGAGCTCTGCAGTTCCCTGGAGTAGGGCATGTCCTGTACACTTGCAGAGTAGTGTAGCCCTTGCCTCGTGTTTGGGACCCCATGCTGGCTGTAGGCTTAAATCAAATGTATCTCTATTATAGAGGAAGAATGATGGGGACTTGGAGCAAGACAGTAATGCTTGTTGGTGTCTTGCATTTCCTTCATTCTGCCTAAGAATAACTGCCATTGGGGATGAGGAATATTCTCACCTAATGAGATTTTCATCACTGAAGCCGCCTTACATAGATGGGGCAGGAAGAGTAAATTTTAACATTTCCAGACAGGAGTGGGTTTTTCTTTTTGCAGGTGGGAGAAAACATTTTAAACCTTATGAAATTGCTGAAATTGCTTTTTTTTAAATGCAAAGGTTCCCCAATATGGTACAAAGGAGAGAGCTGGCTTATTGAGTGTAAGCAGCAAGTCACCATGCAGTTCAGTTTTCAAACTCAATGGATGGGTTTGCCAGCCAAAAATGGGGTGTGGAAGGCTTTATTACTCACAGAGTTGTCTGGATTATTTACGCCTGTTGAATTGGGTGGGTAATTTTCTGTAGGCTTATGACCCTTTGTAAGACAGGACCCTGCCCTGAGACTGAGCTGCCTGAATTCCAAGCAGATCACATGTATTCTGCCTCAGCCCAAGCCTGATGCTGCAGCAATCTGGATTTTTCCTGTGCAGAGCAAATACGTCTTTTTGGTGCTGCAGATTAGCCTTTTCCGGGCTGGGGAAATGGATAAGTAGCAGAACACAAGGACAGCTTTGGATCTTGCCCCCTTCTGTCAGAGAATGAGGAAAGCCATACCAATACTGACCAGTGACCAGTTTGTCAATACTTGGCATGCAGAGGTATAATTGTGTTACTGGGAGTTGCCTTCCAAAACCAGCACAAATGGAGGACTTGTTCCAAACCTAGTTAATCAACATCTGCAATACTGTTTACAAGTTTTCTTCAGGCTCTCAGGAAACCCATAATATGCTTCCTCAGCCTGGAGCCATTAAAAAATATATATATATAAGGATAAGATGAGAGTAAATCACCTTGTCCTTCATACCTGAAAACTTAAGAGGAATGTGTCGGTTCTTGTAAAGAGGAGTGGGCTTTCTTTTTCCAAGTGCTGCACAAACCTCCTCCTCTCTGCAAAACCTTAAAAAAATTTTTTTTAAAGTTTTGACAGTGCTGGGATTCACAAGCTTCCCTTTGATGGCCCAGTGGGGCCTCTTAGGCAGAGGATTAAGAGAAACTGCCCGCTTAATGGTCCTTGGATGGTGTGTTTGCCCTGCCCATCCTGAGTAACTTGGCAGAGAATTTTTTTATGCTAATCTTGGCAAGTTTATTCTGTTTTTAATTAGATTCTTGTTTTTGAATCCTGTGTGCTGTATGCAGTATTAAAAGGTAAACAACCTTGAAGAGGACTCATCTGTGGCTGTGAAGTACCTGGCATATGTATTGTTGGGCACCCAGCTGTGTGTGCCTTTTCTGTTGATTCAGGCTTGGCCTCACTTGTTAATGGGGAACAATCCCAGCAGATAAATTGCAGCCTGACCCAGAAAAAGTCCCTCCACTAAAAAGCAAACCATTGCTGGGAAGGAAAGCTGCAGCGGGCAAGCTGTTCTGCTAGCAATCAATGCACCTTTTGTCTGCTTATTCATAGCACAAGAGCTGTGCTGGCAGCTGCCCAGCTTCTTCTGTGAAAGCAGTTATGGGGGTCATAGTCTACCTTTTAGATTCCCTCACAGTTGCCTCCAACAAAGGAGAGGTTAAAAGTGTCCCTTCAAGTGGCGGGGGGAGATGTAAAGAGATTTGACAAGAGCTACACAAGTGCAGGAGGGAAGAGAGAAGCAATAGGTACCGTAAATGGTTGCAAACCAGCTTGAAATAGGATTTCATTTTATAACAAGAGGGGAGTAGCGTGTGATGTTTCTTTATACATAAAGAACAAGCAGCCTCCTTGGTCTGGATTTTTCCTTGATTTTATAAGCAGCAGCATGTAATACTGATTATTATGCTTCCAGGGGTGCCTTTTCCTAAAGGATGTCCTGGCTTTGTATCTGTTCCTTTGATGGAATACAATGGATTGGAGTGATGGTATTCCACTGCTGAAAGAGCACTAGCCAATCCAGTGCAATAGAATCCCAAGATTATATTTAACAGCAGTGTTTGCAGGAGTTACCTATTAGAAGACCTCATAGTCATTTGCTCTCCTCTCTACACACTCTTTGTATTTGTAAAGATCCAATGACAGACTTCAGTTTCCTGACCGTCTGATACTGTACCTGGCAGCGGCAGCTACCAGCTCATTTTAAGACAGTCACAAAATAGGCAGGGCAGTATTCAACAAAGTTGAGTAGGCCCATTGAAATTACTGGGCCTGACTTAGTCATGTTCATCAATTTCTGAGTAAAGTTCAGTTGAATACCACTCTTGGATCACTTCCAGTCAATGGGCACAGGAGGAGGAGCAACTTCCAGTCCAACAAGGCAGCACTAGATTTTGTGACCCTTATTTCTCACGGAGCCGTTTCTCTACAGAAGTTCTTCCACCACTTTAATTTTCCAATATTTCAGCCCTGGCTTATACCTTACAAAAGTAATGGAAAGTCTGATTGCACTGAAATGATATAAAAAGACAACTGGATCATCCGATAATTATAGAAAATGCTAGAAGAGCACTTTCACTCACACGGAGAACTGTAGTATCACATGTACTTTGGGTATGGGTGGGTTGTGGCATTTAATTCAAGCGGCTTATTACTACAGCAAGATCAAGGGAGGAAAAGTGGGGGTAGATACTTCACTCCAGATTGCTAATCATTTCCCACTTCTGATCCTGTGGCTTTACAGCATGGTTCCTGGATTATCTAGTACCACTCAAACAGACTTTCGTTTTCATTTTCATTTGAAATCTTGTAGAGCTTGGCAATTGGAAGTGCCACTGTTTTTGCACTTTGGAAATGCCACAGAGAATCGGTATGGTAGATATTTCCCATCCTGCACATAATAATATAGAATTACTTCCCACTATGGTTAACTATACCTTCTTGTGAGTTTTCATATGTTCTCTGCTTTGCCATGCTAGTGAGCACAGTTAGGGATACTTTGCAGACTGTGATGTTGCAGTGATAAATGCTTCCCGTTTCTTATGGCATACTTGTTCCTTGTGTTTTACATGACTGCAGCATATGTATGGGAATCTTTTGCTCTCCAGGCCAGATGTTCCCCACCTGCTTTAGCATATCTTTCTAACCATCTTAAGTCTTGATTGTGACTCCTGGGCACCTCTTCTCCCTACGCAACACTTACCAGGAATTTGCACACTTACAAATCAGTACACAAATGTCAGCCCTCAAGCTGTATGGCTGCTACACAGTAGTGTACCCTCATCTCTCTCTCTCATTTATTTTTTATTTAAAAAATTTGTCCAGCTAGGCTTTTCTTACACTTCAGAATTCACCTACCACATTTTCTGAGAGGGTTGTAAAACATTTCAGGAAGTAAGTTCTGTTGCAATGTAGTCTTTTTCCCAGATGGTTAAAAATATCCTGCTGAACATCTGTGCTGGTATATCTCGATCCAGCAGTAATAGCATAATACCTTGCCCCTTGGTATTGGAATTAAAGGATAGCACTGATGAATTGGGAACCGCCACACCAGTTTGTTTTTAAGGCAGGAGATGAAGACCCATATGAGAGGTTATAAAAGACTCAAAACTGAAATGGATACTAAATAGAATGGTGTTGGAAGGGTTATAGCATTTTGGTGGTACAGGGCAGTACTAAAGAATAGGTGTTGTTTAGGGAGGGTACAGCTGCCAATAAGAAGCTGGCTTTTATTAGCTTTAATAGGGCTTTGAAACCTCCCTCACTGATCAAGTATAGTGGGCATACAGTGCCTCCTACAGTTTACAAAATGACATTTGGACTATCTGCTCTTCTCAGTGATGCTGTAGGAAATAGCCACTATATGCCTGATGTGACCTCATAACCACATCGTTCTTAATAGCAAGTATAGCCAGTGATATGCTAGCAATTCGGAGGAGATTTCATTTTCCCAGCAACAAAAATGCTGCAGACGCCCTATAACACACATACTGAAAATGCAGCTGGATCTCATACAGTAATTCTGTACCAATCTTTAAAAATACTGAATAAAAATGCATCATCAGGAAAAGAACTCTTCTCATTAACTAGGGAATTTGTCCAACCTCAGAACTATGATTAAGTTCTCAGACAGCAGCCCAAATGCAGCAAGAGCAACGCGCCACTTTCATGGAGCTGCCACTGGATCAGAAGCCAAGCCGTGTAAGTAATGCTTATCTACCCACAGCAGGAATCCAAATTGAAATTTATTAGAAACAGGAATGGGGTGCATGGGAGGCTTCTTTCCACCTGGGAAAATACATCACTACAATAACAGAGACCAAATTTTAAAAACATACAGCCTACCTAGACTCCTAACCTTGGCAATAAACATTCTACGTACATTTAGACCAGCATTTCTGGTGGAATGTACAACCCACTGGTGGTTGTTAAAGGAGGTAGTACAATGTATCTTGGAATCTGGCACATGCTGTTTCTGATTACTTCTTGGATTTCTTTTTGAAAGCTTGTAACCCATTAAAGAGAGACAAGCTTTACTACCACATGGGCAATGCTCAACTAAATTATTTCACAAGCAGAACGGTCTCCACTTGCACAAACAGGACTTCCCCCCTACCCCCGTGCATGTCCTGCACCCCCCCAAATTTTCTCCCAAGGATTGGGGGAACCCCTAAAACAGATTTAGTGGGAGAACACTCTTGTTGCACAAGGAAAAATCCTTCCACAGACAGAAGTTCGCCTTAGTTCCACCCTCAGTTTAGATTGAAGGCATGAAAGTTAGGCTGAGGCCATTCCCAGTTCTACTAGAGTTTTCGGTCCGCAGTGAGACCTACTTTTTTTTGGCACAATGCATTTGTATAAATTCATTGTTTTGGGAAAATATAAAATGCCAAAGACTGCAAATCAAGGAGGGGGGGTAGAAGAAGTTCATACAATAGGGGAACATACAAATGCATGTCCTGAGATAGCAAGGGACGACATGAAATGTGAAAAAGTGTTCTAGCCACCAACTTAGAACAGCCTTTGCTAACTTGGTGATTTTCAGATGTTTAGGACTGCATTTCCCATTGGCCTCAGCAATGGTACTGCCTTGGGAAATCACCGTCTGAAACATCTGGAGGACAGGTTGCTGACGAGTGGCCTAAGGCAACATGTGCTTTCTGCACATGTGGATTAGCAGAACCATACAGTATGCGTTGTTTGGTTGTTGTTTTTTAGCTAAGCCTCCTTTTGCTATACAGTACTTGCTCCTTTCTTTCCAGTCTAGAGTAGGGATGGGGAGAAGGTGGGACCACCTATCACTTGCTGGTTGCTGGGATTCTTGTTAAGCAGGAATGGAGAATGGCCCTCCAGATGTTGCTGGACTACAACTTCCATAAGTCCTTATCATTTGCCATAATCGCTAGGGCTAATGGGAGCTGGAGTCAGACAACATCTGGAAGGCCACAAGATCCTCACCCCTGTTGTAAAGGATAGATAGAAATTGCCCTGAGACAGCAAGGCACTATTTAGCATTTTTAAATAAGAGTGCATTGTCAATGCATTGTACACAATTCAGTTATACCTTCATTATTAATAGATTTAGAGCACACGATTTTGCTTTGTAAATTTAAACACACAGTAGAAAACCATAGAGGGTTAAAAAAATAAAGTAGTCCCAATAAAACTGAAATCAGCTCCCACTTCCTTGCGGGAGGATTGTCATGTTGCTCAGCATGATGCTTCTTGTAATGCCCATAATTGAATTGCCAAAACGCTTCCCCAACCAGTCATTTTAGCTGTGTCACACAAAATCCTGGATTCAGCTGCATCAGGCGGCATTCCTGAACCCCAAATAGAGATGGGGACAGGGAAAGAGTTTTGCTGCTTCTGGGTGGATTAATTGCATTCGCTGGAGCCACCATCATTATTATGGACAGAAAGCAAGCACAGTCAGCCATCAACCCAAGCCAGCAGGATCATTCAGTGGCATATAACTGTGTAAGGCACTGGTGTTCAAAGAAGAGGCAGGCTCTCCAGAATACTTATACATGCCACAGTGTGGCATAAGGAGCTACAGTCCCAATGGGAGGATTGTGGCTTTGCAGAAATGTCATAGTGCAGAGACTGCAAGCCTAATCTTTAGGGTAGAAACACACAGAACACACACACACACACACACACACACACACACACACGTGGGGCTATGTATTGGGAACACAGCTAGGCCTGCTCTTGTGTAACATGTCTTGCAGCTACCCCTAATGGTGTCATTCGCAGGATAAGCCAACTTGGCCAGAGAGAATTTGCTTCTGAGTGGTGATCCTTATGCTCCGCATTGGGAAGAGAAGCAAAGCAGTTCTGCAGACATTCATGTGTCATCCTCAGTGTTGCTCAAGAACGATAGGTGGCAAGGTAATTGGTAAGGTAACTGCTAGTTCCTCAGCTCTGCTCGGGGCATTTTGAACATATGTGGTGGCCTTGATCTGCAAAGGGAGAAAAGTAGAAAGAGCACTCTAAGCTTGAGGCTAGGTGGTTGGGCAGGGCATGAAGCGGAAAGGGGTTTCTAATAAGGATTTTATAAAAAAAACTAATGACACTTGGAGAAATCTCTCTGGTCTATATCACTCTTATTGGCCTGTAGTGGAAGTGGGGATGAATACTTTCCTAGCCCCCACCCACTGTAAAAGCATTCCCTGCAGCTAAGATTCAGTTCATGCTCAGATAGGATTTGGTGGGTTCTGTGCACAATGCCAGCCATACTTCCTCTTACCAGCACCCCAGGGACTGCCTCTGTGCAGCTGGGGCCAGCATGCAACAGAAAGCTCAGCTTAGCGCAAAGAAGACCAAAAGCATACCCTGCAGAGCATTAAATGTCTTCTGTCTCAGCCACCAACACCAAAGCAAGAGAGCTTCATATTTTGAATTGGCAGAGCTCCTTTCCCAAAATGGTCTTGTTCAGCACCTTTCTCCAGTACTGGACCTCCTTCCCATTACTTAAATTGCATGGTCATTTCCTACATCTAAGGCGGCTTTCTTTTGAACTCCACACCAAACATAGACAGGAGGTAGGAAAAGATACTTACAGTTCCATATTTTCCATGGCACCATCCCTTGTAAAAGAAAGAGAATGTCAATGGGATATATGACAGCTTCCTCAAAGGCTTTCCAGAATGCATGCTAAGCTCTCTCAACCCTAATGTGGGCAAGGGAATTAAAAAGAAGAGTACTATAACCCCCAACTGCTTATACTGGAACCAGATGGCAGGACAATGCAACCTTTCAGCAGTGCTGCCAAACCTGGGTGCCTGTTGAACAGCAGAAAAACCCATGTCCATCGACCAAGCTCAGTGCACCTAAGCACTAGCTAGCATAGCTCCTTTATATAGTAAGGTGTCTTACATGTGTTCTCTGGGTCTACTTCTGGCATCGCACAGCCAAAGTGGGTGCAAAGAAGTTTAGCCGCAAGGTTAGAATTATGCACCCTCTGAAATGCTGCCTTAATAGCAAGAATCCTCCCTGGTCACGTGAGCAATTGTTTCTTGAACTTGTCATGGCTCTAGTCTAGTTCGTGCCCAGGGTCATGGGGTTTTTTTGTTATTGCTTCATACTGCGCAGACTTGTGCCCTGGAGAGGTCACCTCGATGTCCCTATCACAGCAATTTGACTTCACCCATGGAGGCACACTCCATTGTCTCTCAAGATGGATGGATGCCAACGACAACAAACTCAGATAACACAGCATTGGTGTGGCTTCCACAGGACCATGTTTTGCCAGAAAGGTTGAAAGCTGTTTCAGAGTACAGTGGTACCTTGGGTTAAGAATTTAATTCATTCTGGAGGTCCATTCTTAACCTGAAACTGTTCTTTACCTGAAGCACCACTTTAGCTAATGGGGCCTCCTGCTGCTGCCGCTGCGCCACCGCCACCACGCAATTTCTGTTCTCATCCTGAAGCAAAGTTCTTAACTCGAGGTACTATTTCTGGGTTAGCAGAGTCTGTAACCTGAAGCGTATGTAACCCGAGGTACCACTGTATAAGCAAGTGGGAAGTCAAAACATTCCCTTTTTCATTTACTAGGGAAGGCAGTTAGCACTTTCCCCTAGAGGCTTCCCCTGGAGAACCCACTTTTCCATCAGTATCTTAAAAGCAGACACTTTCACAAGAGGGATTGTTGGTTTACAAGAATACCATGGGAGCAGCCCTACAGCTGGACTTGCACTTCTAGGTAATGGAACCAACTGGAGGGTGGAGGGCTTACGGGGTGTCCAAGCCTATAATCAGTGAACAGTACTGAGAGTGGGGTGGGGGGAGAGAAGTAAAGCATCTGATCCATGGCCATAGGCAGGGTGACAGGCAAAAGTATAACCCATCCTCACGTGTAGACGTCATCCATGTGCATTCTGCGGTAAAACTTGGCAAGCCGCACAGCCAAGATGATGCTCGGCAGCAGAAAGATGGTGCACCAGCCTAGACTGAACCAGAAGGCGTTCTAAGGGGAGAAGAGGGGAAGGCAGCTGTCAGTACTCCCGCTGTCTCTCTCCACTTAACTCCCACCCTGCTTGAGCTCATGCAAGGTAAGCCTCGCCTACAGCCTACCTGTGTCTTTTCCATCCATCTCCCCAACGTTTCCCTAGAGCTCCCTTCACATACATCTATACACTTTCCCCAGCCCTGTGCCCATTTAAGAGCACAGGGATCTGTCCCATGTGCAGATGTCTCCCCAGCTTCTTTCCATGCGCCACCCCAGGCAAGATTCCCAGAGCCACAGCACAGCCTCTGCCCAAGGTAGTTACAATTTCTGTGGCCCCACCACCTACCAGTTACTCCTACATCCTGGGCTGCAGTCGCCATCTCTCAACCTACGGACTGCCACCCTGCTGTCCCTTATCCATGCTGGCTCATTCCCACACCCCAGCTCATCCCTCGTGTTGACTGCCTCACCAATGAATTGACAACGCAGCTGCAGACCACGGTATTCACACTATCCAGTGCCCAGGCTGCAGGGCCACAGCGGCCCACCTGCTCTTTGATCTGCCAGCAAAGAAGACAAGGAAACATCATGACCACCAAAGGAAAAATCCCGAGCCCTGCACTCCTTTCCTGGCCAAACACCTTCATCGTGATGTCATCATAAATGTTGCCTGTCCAGCTAAGCACATGGTAGGAATTGTCCTGGCATTGCCAACCTTATAACTTCATGCTGTGCTTGCACCCTAGAAGTAAGATGGGCAATGGCAGTACACTTCCCACGAGTTCAGCTTGATTTTGCTTACATATGCCTCCAGGGCCACCTGTGCATGAGGCTGTGAGACTGGCATGTGAACGCAAGTGGCTGATCGGGAAAGTGCAGTTAACCACAGAATGCTGCAGCATGACTGCTGCCAGGAGTGAGGCTCTGTCAGCATATTGGAGTTGCCCTCAGATATTTGCACTGGCTGCTGATGGGCAGAATTACGGGATTCAATGTTACATTGGCTGCTCACACTTGTAGGAAACAGGCAAGTGCAGCCAAGCCAGGAGAAATTAACCCTCACTCATCGGCTGCCATAAGCTCAGCAGGATTCCTCCTTCCTGTTTCATGAGTGAGGTTGCATGGGCATCTTGCCAGAATGGAGGACTAGGTGTTGCTGTTTGAACCTCCAAAAACTGGACATTCAAAAAGGAGTGTGTGGCTATTGAAAGCCCTTTGCAAAAGTGCTCCTGACAGTTTTCAGAAGTTCAGGCAGCAGGGCATGGGGACAACTGAGGTTTCAAACTGCAGTATCACCTGGTGTCAAAACTCCGTCCGCCTGCCCAAAGTAACCTGTCAAAGATTTGGAAATAAAATTCTGGCCTGCCTGGCAGAAAAGGTTCCCTGCCCCATATCTTTTTAGATGTCTATTGCAAACTTACCCAGACATACAATTTAGTTACTCATATTTGTTCTTAAAGTTTTACTGATTTAATCAGTGTTTTAATTACCGTATTTTTCCATGTATAAGACTAGGGTTTTTTCCTTAAAAATAATGTCAGAAATTAGGGGTTGTCTTATATATACCCCCCCATTTTCTTAAATCTGAGTCCTCAAAAATAGGGGGCATCTTATAGATGGAAAAATGCAGTATGTTTTATATATACTTGTTTTTTATTGCTTTGCAGATTTCATCTGCATTTTAACTACAACTTTGTTATGCGCACCGTCTCTAGAGAGTGCTTTGATTAAGCAGTTTATAAATCTTTTAAACCAGTAAATAATAAATAAACTATGGCTAAAAGGTCCAGTAAATTCATGGTTGACTGGCTTGGGTATGCATAGCCACAGGCAAGCATCCAGCCTGGATGTGAGTATAGCAGAAGTATACAAGCAAGGACAACCAGGCTCCCACCTTGTCATCACTCAGGATTAAGCCCAATCTCCATCAACAGCAGTTGGCATTACTTACGGTACTCTTTGCCCAGTCTATATATGATTCAAATAAACCCAGCAGAGTTTTCACGAAAGCTGAAGTCTCCTAGAGGTAAGAAGGTAAAATGGGTGGGTGTAAGTTAGAGGATAGGACAACAACTTCCAAACAAGGAAAGGGGTTCAGTTATGGGGCTCCAATCCCCTATCCAAGCTCCATTAATGGTTCCAAGAATAGGAAGGGAAATTGGGCTGTCTTATGGGGTACAGGAAAAGGTAATACAGCTAATCCATGCATGATCAGCTGGGGTGTCACATTTCCCTATCCTGGGAGCACTAGCTTTCGCTTGTCCTCCTCTCCACTGCATTTCCTGTATTCCCATTTCCCAGAGTTGTTCACTAGCATGTCTAATATCGTAGTTAGAGGCCTATAGGACTTCTGGATGAGCCTCCATGTTACATTATGTAGCGATGCACAAATCCAGTCTTAATGATGTCCTCTGTGTACCCCCACCAGGAAATGGGTTGAATGATGAGAAGACTCACGTTTTTGACAACGTCCTGCACCTGCCACTTCATAAATATCTGAGCGTCTTCTATTTTTGACAACGTGGCGTTCGCTGTACCCTGGCAGGACACAGTACTGTCAGATTCACTCCCTGGCAGAGCCAGTCTCATGGGCTGCCCTCACCACCACTTTCCATACAGATCTGAGCAGACCACTGAGCAGAACATCACATAATCCAATGGGCATAAGGGAGCAGCGCTGGTATATTATCAAAAGGCTGAGACAGGTTTTTTGGTATGCTTTAGCGGGAGTTGCACAACTGCAGCTCTTCAGATGCTGCTGGACTACCACTCTCATCAGTCCTGACCATTGGCCATGCTGGCTGGGACTGATGGGAATTGGGAGTCCAACATATGAAGGACTGCAGCTTAGCATTTCATACCCAGCACCATACAGACCCCGAACGCACACAAGCATAGTTCTGCCAGTGCCCCATTAACACCTCCTCTGTCCATCTTTGGGATGCCTACCAACTCTGTCAATCTCCCACAGTCTTCCAGGTTCTGAAACCCCATCCCTACAGAGTCAATGCCAAGGGAAATCTCTGTATCTCCCAATTGGCACCTGTTACCTTGAGTTCTCACATTGTTATGCAAGGAGGCCTGGCGAGATTGTCAGTAGGTTGTACTTCCCCACCCATCCAATATCTAATGGGGTGTCATTCAGAAAGCCTGGCATCAAAGCCCCACCTCCCAGATCACTCCTTCCTCAAACCTTGCCCTGCTTACCGGAATCTGAGGGACAGACTTCTGTAGTTTTCGAATGCTGCTTCTCAGGATGTGCTGAGGACAGAGAAAGCTCATCAGAGGGCACCATCCACTGAGCTGGATGGAATGAGTTGACAGAAGGTGGGACAGATATCAACCATCTTATGGCCTGGTAGGGCCAAGAATCAAAACCGTCCAGAGAGGCCTTGTTCAGGGCGGCACCTGGTCTGGGCCAAAAGGAGGTAAAGGTGTTTGGGGAGAGCAGCACTCACCATCTGAGGAAGAAACGTGTCATTGACCCAATCCTGGAGCTTCCTCAGCCTTCTGGCCTCCAGCTGAAAATCGCTCCGAGCTTTCTCATTAATTGCCTGAAAATATGTTCATAAGCACCATATCTTGTGAAGAGATATTGATAGGTTTTCTGCTGCTTTCACACATACAAGTGGGCACATTTCCAGGAGACAATGTGGGATGCAATTATTTCCCATCTTCAGGGAGGATCTGGGGTTAAATCAGGGCCAGCCTACCTATTAGTCAAGATGAGGTGACTGCCTCAGGCAGCAGGATCCACAGGGACAGCCGATTCAGCCTCCAAGGAACACATGCCCATGGCTGCTGCTGCAGTGGCACTGACGGCTGTGGCACACTGCTTGGGGACTGGATCTGCCTCTCCTCAACAGTTCCCTGCCCCCCATGCCACCTCTATAGTGACCTCTTGGCAAATAGGAGTTGCTGCTGGTCTCCTATCACCCTTAGAGAGGAAATGGTGGGGGCATGATTCAGAACAGGCCCCTTTTCCCCTGCCATGACGGCATTTCATTCCCACTTCAGCTGTTGAATAAGATTAATTCAATTCTCCCCCTTGTTCCCAATGTAGATCTTCATTCACCCCTACTTCTCTGGCGGGGAGGGTGCCATTTTGTGGTTCGCCTCAGGTGCCAAAATGTCTTGGGCCAGCTCTGGGTTGAAGTGATCCCAAAAAGACACCTACAGGGCCCCTCCCCCTAGAAAGGGAGCTGGGGGAGAGAAGCACTGCAGAAGAATGGGGATATCCCAATCAAAGCACCACTCACTGTGTTTTCTGCCAATTTATCTAGACCTGCTGCCGCTGAAGATAGGTCTTTTTTTGTCACAGTCTCGTTGATCTGCAAAGAAAGGGACAGAGAGCACACGGTGGGTCAGCTCCTCAAGGATAGCAAGAGACATTGGAGTGAGTAAGGTCAGGGCCCAGGCAGATTAAGTTCGCACACTTCCTAGAATCCGCTTTCCAACTTGTTTTATTTCATTTTGAACCCATTGATACGTAAGCTATTATTATTTCACATCACACCTCTGGGAAGAGAAAGCTCACCTCATCTCTCGACCTCCAATGATCTGTGAGACAACAATCAGAGGCTCTTTTCTGGGTGCCCTCACCTACAAAAGGACATGGGTGGGTGCCATCCAAAGAGCGTACCTTTTTAGTGACTGTGCTCTAATTATGGATCTCCCTCCCAAGGGTGATCTGCCTGGCATCTTTGTCGTTGCTTTTAGGCACCAGGCAAATCCTGTCCTGTTTACGTGTTAACTGCTGCTTTTATTTATGTGGAATGGCATGATTTCATTATACAGATGTCTTTGAGATTTTCTTAAACTCAGTAACCTGCACAGGTTTTGTTGGGGAACAGCTTTCCTTTTGGGCTGCACCCAAAGCCCTTTCCGGACACTATCCTTTCTCCTGAACAGACTGAGCAGCTGCCAGAAACCTATGCTGACATCATCAACCCAACGACCCTTCCATTGTCAGTTAATCAGAATATCCCAGCTGACGGATTCCTTCCTGCAGCAATTCATACCCCAGCAAGCATTCCACCCTCTCATCTCACTTGTTTCAGAGCACTGGAAAAATTCAGGTTCAGCCCATCCTTTGAGCCCAGCTCCTGCAGGCGACGCTTCTGCTCATCCTTCAGGAGGTCAGTGGAGCCCAAACTGATATTTATTTTTTTTAAGGCTGCATCAATATTACCGGTGTACTGTAAGAGCAAAAGAAAAACAAGGCAAGTAGGTGCAGAGTACATAACAATCCAGTCTCCCAGGACACTTCTCTGGGGTTCTCCAGGTGGCTGAAGATATGCCCCAGATCTGGACTTTAAACTATCCCACAGCATATCTGAGGACACTAATCTTGCTGGTCATTCAATTTCTCTTGTGGCTGTCTCAGTTCACCTACAGACACTCATCACTGACCTTGCTGGTGTTTAGGATCTCATCCAGAGGGATGACCTCACCCAGGTGAAGGGTGCTCCACAAGGGGGCATTGTTTTCACAGTTCCTGCAAGAGTGAAAACCGAGCTAAGAGACCAGCATACACTGTGCTATGTCAAACATAAACTGGGGAAACAGCATCACCATGCAATCAAGCTTTCCAATCATGTAGTTTAACTCTTACGCCAGGGGGCAATGGGGTTGCTGGTGACATAAGCTCAGCATGGGGGCAAAAACTGTGGGGAAATAGCAGGACTAAGAAGCACAGTGATCAGGCTGAAAGGTACCTCAGAGAAAGAAAAGCATGATTCAGGCTGTTATTCTAGCAAACTCTTGGCAGAATGGAGAAGTTGTGGGTCAGGGAAAGACTTCTCTGCACCAGATTTAAGATTATACAGTCAAACTGGATCCTGAACACCTTGGTACTTGGATGTTTTGGCTCCCAAATGCTGCAAACCCGGAAGCAAGTATTCCAGTTTGCGAACGTTCTTTGGAACCCAAACGTCTGACGGGGCTTCCATGGCTTCAAGCCATGCTTTGGTTTCCAAATGTTTTAGAAGTCAAACGGACTGTATTATGGTAGGTACGACTGTATTATGAAGCTTCCTGTCTATGCTGGGCAAGGACTTTGGACATAATATACAACTTATGAAATTGATGTATCATTGGTATTTAACCCCTAGTAAACTAGCTTGTATAAAACAAGGTCAAATACATGCTGGAAATGTAAGGAAAAAGAATTCTCTATGTTGGTTGTTTGATAATTGTTTGCAAGTTTCAAAATCTGAAAAAACTAAAAAAAAATTAAAAAACTTATCTGCACCAGGGCCCCCTGGCATGGCTGTGCATGGTACCCTGACATTGCATGTTGGCAAGTGGGTGGAACTTACTTTTCCCTACTCCCATACACTGCATGCCTGACTCTATCAGGCCTGCAGTTCCCACCCTGCTCTCAAGAGTCTCTCTCCCTTTGGGGGAAGGTGAGGACCAAAGTCACAGCAGGCAGGAAGCCATGGAGGAATCCAGCCAGCCAGCCACTCACTTGTACAGGCTGGACAGGTTTACATCAGAACTCTTCAAGTGCAAGAGCCGTGTCAGGTTGAATTCAGGAAACAACCCTGGTGTGTCCAGAAACTAGAAGAAAATAAAGAGTCATTAATTAGATTCTTAGCCTCTCAACTCAAAACATCTTCAGTATTTGCCTCTCCCTGCGATTTCCTCCTCTGCAGAATGTGGGATTGCCTGGCTGTCTCATGCCTACTTCAGCAATTTCCATGCGAAAATGATAATGATTGACAAGGGGGAGAGATGGGATCCCAGGATTAGAATCTAAGGTTACAGTGTGTGGGTTCTGGTCTGGTGTTAAGGGAAACCATGACTCACTTCTCTCCTCACCCACATTATTTCCCCCCTTGTTCCACTGCAGATGGCACTCAGCAGTATCAAAGAATACTCATGGTAGCCCAAGGGACTTACCTGAAGGAGATGCCCATCGGCCCACGGCCGACACACCACTGTGTACATACTTCCCCCAACTAAAAATGTCAGTAGAACCAGCAGCATCAGCAGCCATGAAAATATGAAGCTGAACCCAACGCTCCTGTCAGAGAAGGGAAAACATGATTGGAGGTCTAGGATTTCGCTGGATGGATGTGAAGAGCAGCCGTCAGAGCCCTTGCACATTTGCCCCAGGCAACCCTTCCATTCATTCTGACACACAATCCAGCAGATAAACATAAGGAACAGCCAGAGGTCCATGGGAAAGTCCAGGACAAGGTCAGGGTGCCAAAATACTCAGGGGGCATGACTCTGCACTGTGCCAATCTGCCAGTAACGCTGCATTTCTGGATACTTAAGGACATTCCCACCCTATCTTTCTCTAGTAGGAGCCTGTACACAAAACAGATTGTGTACGGGGAAACCCTCCATAGAATAGCTCCCAGAGACCTGGGGAATCAGGCAACCAGCAATACATGTAAAGATCTACAGCTGCCTCCTGAGTCCTGCCACCCATGCTCTCACATTTGCTACGCCATAATGCAGCTTGGCAACATTTGGCAATCATCAGGAAGGGTAATAAGGGTACAGGCCAGAGCTCTGTAACAGAACATGAGTTTTGCATGCAGAAGGTTCCAGGATGAATCCCTGGCATCTCCAACTAGGGCTTGGAAGGACGTCTAGCTGAAACTCTGGAAAGCCACTGCCAGTCAGCATTGATGGTGCTGTGCAAGATGAACCAAGGGCCTGACATGGGATGAAGCAGCAGCTTCCTACATTCTTTTGACTTATTGGATGACTCTCTGTCATGAGATGGGAGAAGGTGCAAAGTCTCTTACGCCATGAGGAGGTCTCCACCAGTGTTTGCGAGGCAGCCCCGTTTGGTAGGCATCTCTCGCGGGTTTAGCCCAAGTGCCCCAAACAACAGGCCCAGCATGTTGAATACAATGATCACGAGTACCAGAGAGCAGAGGCAAAGGCCAGCAATCCACCTAAAGTAAGGAAAAGGAAAACAGTTAAGACTCCAACAGAAGGCAATGGCTAAAGGAAGGAAGGAGTCAAAACCTGGTAATGGGTTTGATCTCTGCTAAAAACCAGCATCAGCAAGACTCTGTTGGCAACAAGAGGAAGCAAATTAGAAAACACGAGATCCCATCCAAGCCTAGGTTATGAACAATGGTATAGCACTGAAGAAAAACAAGTGCTATCTGGGCCAATTAACCAAATCGAAAGACAAGGATTTTAATTTTCATACTACTGCAGACTAGATGTGGTGCCCTGTCCAAAAATGCTGTGGGAAACCATCCGTGTGACATGAAACTGCACACCAGAGGCTTCCAAAATAGTGGCCAGAAAGCTTTTAGCCCTTCGTTTAGGCTACCATTCTCATCCCATTTCCTACAGCTGCCATTTTGATAACATATGACCACTCATGGTCAGGAGGGACAAGGGACCAACATTTCATCCAACACATGACCTAGCGTGGCTTAAGCTAACCTAAGGGATTTCCCCAGCTTACAATACTCTGAGAACGCTTTAGGACTTCCGGGGTGGCGCCACCGGCAATGGCGGACTCCCTCTGAACTGGAGGGACTAGCTCCGCGGAAAACGGGTCTTCTCCGCTACGGCGAACTGGGGACCCACTTAAAAATCACAGGCGGATGAAGCCTGTGACCATGGGACTCGGCGGGCACCTTTAGCGCCCCCCCAACCCGCTAAGGAACCCACTAACGGGCTCCGAAGTGAAGAGGGGGAAGTGGCGCGGTGCTGTGAGTCAACTGCTATTTCCGTGGAGCGAAGCCGCATAGCTGTTGCCGGAGAGCGCTGCCTTTTTCCTGGGACAATTTGGACTTTAAAATAAGCACCCGTGAGTACTTAGACTTTGAACAATTGGACATCAAATAAGGACTTGCGAGTAGGAAAGAATCGGACTTTAAAAATTTACTTGAATTTGGTATGGAACGGGAAGGTCTAAACAGGAAGTCATCCTTCCGTTCTTTTGTAAACAGAATAAAGCAAAGGCAATTTAAACTAGAGCTCAGAAAATCACTTTTAAAAGATTGGATTTCACCATTTAAAATTGTGGAACCCCCCTTCGACAGCAGGAGAAGGGGGGATCTTTTTGGACTGTTTAAAGTGACTTTAAAGTGAAGTAACTTTCCTCCGTCCTGATCCTGGAGCAGGCTGTCAGGACTGACGTGTGAAGTTCATTAACCAAAGACAAGTGTTTTTGACAGATGGCTAAAAGAAGAGAAACCTAGTGATTCCACTGTTCCCTTTCGCATTTTAAAGGATTATATATGGACAAAGTATCTTAAAAAGGAAACTTTGTTGCAAGAATAAATAGAAGTCTTCCACCTAGGGGGAGTCTGTGAAATTGTAACTGTGAAACTGTAACTAACTCCAGGGAGTCGACAGCTGTTACAGATTACAACCGTGGGAACAAGTATCTGACCTTGTGGGACAATGTATTCAGAAGCCTTGTTGTATGCTCTCTATAAAACAAACGATCTACTGGAACAATTACACGAGAAGGTGAATTGGATGGCGACTTCGACTAGAAATTTTGAACAGGCAGTGGGAAACTTTGAACAGACAGTGGGAAAATATGTGAAGCCCACTCAGGATTTAAATCAGGAGTGTGTCTTGACAGAACAGGAGTTTTTGACATTAAATCAGGAGTGTGTTTTGACAGAACAGGCCCAACAGGAATATGATTTTTTGGATTTGACAAATGAACTTGGAAAAAGCCATATTTGGAAAGGAAAAATTTGGCTTGGTTTGGAAATGGGGGGCTGGATTGACCCCCCTATGCTGGGATGTTTGGACTTTTCAAATATGGCAACGGGCTGTGAGATGTTTGGGACTGTGGGGGCTCTCAATTTTGGAGGGCCTTTGAAACATGCTTTTAAATACTACATGGAATTCATTGTTGAACATGGAAAAGGGGCTGATCTGTTGAGAAGGGTTAAAAACATTGTCAAGCTGGAGTTACCACGAGCAGGAGACAAGGGAAAATACAGTTACAAATATGAAGAAGAGCCGCGGAAGGGTCATGGAAGAGACTTGAGGGCCTCGGACATAAGGTTGCCAGGTTAATGGGCTAGATTGACGGGAATAAGGACTGACAAAACCCGGAACCAGGAGGAAGGGACGCTGGATGAAGATTGGATCTGTTTATACCTCTTTTTTCTACTATTAGAACTGTTTTATAAAATTGATGAATGATAGGAAAATGTTGGAATGAAATTACTTGGCTTTAGCAAAGATGTTTAAAGAATTATGAAATAATATTATGATTATGAGAAGTTGGTAAGGATAAGATTTAAGTTTTAAGTGTTAAGGTTTATTTTATTATAGAAAGATAAGGTCAAGGATTTGCTGGGATAATTAATAACTAGGATACAAAGAAAGGGAGGAGGAGGAGGTCTAAGAAAGAAGGTAATGACAGTTAAGGATTTGAAAATAATGAATTTGTTTTTAAATGTTTTTAAAGTTTTGTGATTTTTGCATTCTTCTTTTTTTCTTTTTTTCTGTCATTTTTTCTCATTTGGAATTTTTTCTTATATGGTGGCAAGGGTTGGTTTTTTTTCCTTTTTTTCTATTTTGTTAATTATTTTTATTCTTTGTACTCTCTTCTGCTTCTATTTTATTTTGTTATTTTTTGTAACATTTTGAAAATCTCAATAAATATCTTTAAAAAAAAATACAATACTCTGAGAACACTTTAATTCATACCTGTAACTATCATAGGTGACGATATCCGGCTCATAGGTACTCGCCCAACTGACAACATCTGTCATGGACTGAGAGATATTCCCCATTCTGCTCAGTGTGGAAAAGTTGCTACGGCTATCTTCAATCGCTTGCTCAACATCACGGAGGCGAGCCTCTCCTTCTGCAAGGACCAAAAGATACACAGATAAACAAATATACTTTGTTCACTATGGCAGAGAGCATCTTACCACAGGGCAGCCACCTGCTATGTGTTCCGGATATGTAGTATTTTATGCCCAATTGCCTATTAGCTCTCCAAGGAAGAACCATTCACACTCCTCAGCAAATCTCATGCCTCCTTCATTTCCGGCTACCCATCCTTCATTCAGTTCAAGTTATGGAAGACAAAGCAGGAAGGACAAGGAAAGCTGTGGATTGGGAGAAGGGAAACATCCAGCTCCACTGAGCCCAAGGCCGTCTTACCCATAGGCACTAGGGGTGCGGGGCACCTGGGTGCCAGGCTCTCAGGGGCGCCAGGCTGAGAGTCCGGGACCCGAGAGCTGAGTCCGGGGAAGAGCCCATCTGTCAGTCAGAGCACTGTGGTAGGCTCTTCTGCTGCAGGTGGCTCTGCACCACGAGTTCGGGGGTGACCGAGCCAGTGAAATGCTGAGGTGGGTGGCCGGCTCTGCCCTCCTGCGCCCCTGGGACTGGGCAACCAGGGGGGGCACTGGGCAGATCTTTGTATCCCAGCGCCGCAAATGCGTAAGACAGCCCTGACTGAGCCCCACTGATGCCTAATAAATGGAGGAGCTAGCAAGAATATGCAGACTAGCCATGTCCTCTAAACAACAGTGTGTACGTGGCATTGGTCCATAGGAGGACATACGTTTTAAAAATGTTTTGGGACATCTTGTAGCTCAGTGATAAGAGTGAATGCATGTCCAAGGTCCTAGACTGAATTCCTTAGCATCTCCAATTAAGGGATCTCAATGGAATTTGTAGAACTACCGTGAATCAGAGTAGACAGTGCTGGGCTGGACAGATCATTGATTTTTTTAAAAAAATATTTTATTAAGGATTTTCTTGTTTCACAGAGGTAAGTGTAATGCCTCGTATTTTTCCCCCCATGTAACATTTTTACAAATCCGTTTCATTTGTTGAGGCATTAGGGGGAGAAGAAAAAAAAAGAAAAAAAGAAAGGGGACAGACAAATCATTGATTTGACTGTAGAACAAGAGCTTCATATGTTCACATGTGATTAACTCACACCTATCACCCCATGCATCCACAGCAGGTAGCTGTAACTGCAGCTTCAGGACAGGAAATGCCATGTTGCTTGGACATGCACAGGTGTGAACTCCAATTACTATCTAGAAGGTATATTTGTAGAATAACAATTTCTAAACAAAGAAAAGGCTGCACTATTGCATAACTGTAAACAGTTATATTGAATGACTGAGAGCCGAGACTTGACTAAATTCCACATATTAATGTGAACTGATCAAAGAGATATTTGGCAGGTGACCTCTAGTTTCTGAGGACGTTATAAGTGTAACCATAGACTTTCAACTGGTTCTTGAAATGAGAATACACACACCTTTATCTATCTGCTGAAACTACTTACCAGACACCACCTTTTTTGTTTGTTCAGACACCTTCTTTGGAATATCAGCCAGAACTTTTCTTGCCTGCCAATGCCAGAACCCAGAATAAAGACATATGCAGATGGAAACAAAAGACAAACAACACAGATCTCAGAATTGCATATGCTCTTATAGTGTTGAACAAAGGGCAAAGCAATGTGAATCAAAAAGGCATTGCAATACGTGCTGATTCCAAAGAGGAAGTGGGCTAACAATACCTTCTGAGGATGGGATACAGGCATTGATGGTTTGAGAGATCAGGGGAGCCCTATGGCCCAAGGCTGTGATTTATGATGCTAGGCTCAGTCTGTGGTTCTGCTCCTACTGCACAGCCTCTCCTAGACAGGCCGTCCCTGGCACACTGCCACCTGGCATGGGCACTCAGAAAGCCTGCTCTGTGTGGCACACTCTGATTGCGGAGGAGAGAGAAAAGATGGACGGAGGGAAGGATGTTACCTTTGCAATGGTGTCCTGAGGGTTTGAGTCTGTCAGATTGGTCAACAGCTGGAGTGGGTGGCTGACATCCGGAACCTGTGGGAACAGATAAAGGGGCAGTTTATCTATCTATAAGAAATTAAAGTGATGATGCATTGTGTTCTGGGAGGGGTAGGAATCTTTGTGTTTCACTCAAATGTTTACACTGACACAGGTAAGAGCAACGTAGCGTCCACTGAGACGTTTGTATGTTTACATGCTGGCAAGACCAGACAAACACATCCATGGGCATCTTGTAGACACGCTCCAACACTGTAGCCAGGCCTCAGCTGAGATTCCACCCTGACATCTATTGCACCACCTGACACTGGCTTTAGCCTCTGTCTCAGTAGTGTCACTCAATTAGCTAAGCCCACTTATCCTGAAAGTGGTGCTTCTTCCCATGTTCCCTAAAAACCCACCATCCCTTTCCCAAGGTCTCTGCACTCCAACCCCATTTTACCGCACTGAGATTGGCCCCAGGCTCCAGGTTCCACATTGGGACACCCTTGCAAGGTTCACCGCAGTCTTTCAAAGTCTGGTTGATATCAGTTCTCAAGGCGGTCAGGTTTTGGCTCAGCTGTTCCTGAAGGTCCCGCAAGTGATTTGTTGTCTCATTGACTGCCCGGAGCTCTTTTTCCACAGAGCTAGTCACTGCAATGGACAGAGAAAAAGAGTGAGGAGGAACTTTGCAATCTCCACCCCGATGACAGAGTTTTTAGCACAAGGGAATCAAGTGGTGCATAAGTTTTATGAAATAAAATAAAATGAAATAAATAAATTTGTGTACCCCACCCATCTGAGTTCGTTGCCCCAGGCACTCTGGGTGGCTTCCAACAGAATAAATAAGAACACAACAGAACACCACGCACTGAAAGCTTCCTGGGCTGCCTTCAGATGTCTACGGAAGGTCAAATAATTATTTATCTCTTTGACATCTGACAGGATGGCATTCCACAGGGTGGGCGCCACTACCGAGAAGGCCCTTTCTGCCTGGTTCCCTGTAACCTCACAGGGAGGGAACCACCAGAAGGCCCTCAGAGCTGGACCTCAATGAACAAATCAAATGCAATTTATTTATTTTGTAAAATTTATATGGCACTTGAATGTAAAAAGAAAGTTAACAAAGATATAAAACAATGAAATTATCAGTGTGTGTGTGTGTGTGTGTGTGTACACACACACATACATACAATAAGCTAAAAACCAGAGTAAAAACCCTGTCAACATTCAACATATCTGGATAGGTTTACCTAAACTAAAATGTTTTTAGCAGGTGCCAAAAAGAGCACAACGTAGGCACCTGCCTGATGTCAATAGGCAAGGAGTTCTGAAGTGTGGGGGCTGCCCCACTACAAGATCAATTTCTTACAAATGCAGAACAAATACTATACAGGACCTATAACATTGCCAGTTCCACAGATTGAAGCAGTCACATAAAGAGGGGTAAAAACATAAACAAAACAAAACAATGCTTTAAACAAACAAATCAAATTCAGGACACTGAACTGCAGCAATGAGCACTTTTCTCCCAAGCAGGGGCTGGCTATCCTTTGGCCCTCCAGAAGTTGCTGGACTACAGTTCCCATCAGCCCTGATCATTAGCCATGCTGGCTGTGGCTGATGGGGGTTGGAGTCCCAACAACATCTGGAGGGCCAAAAATTCCTGACCCATGCTCTAAACCTTCTTTGTCCTCTGAGCACCTTTGCCTCGCCCTGTGCCACAGTTAAACTGACACACTTTCTGGGCCTCCATCTCTACTACTAGATCCCACAACACACTCTTTGTTAAACAGTAGGTCAGTACCATTGAGAAGATGTTCAGCATCGTCCAGCGCTTCGTTTACTCGTCCACCTATTTGATTCTTGATTTTGTCTCCCAAAGTCTGCCCAATCTCTGCAGAGAAAACATCAGAGCAAGAGGATCAACAAGAATGCTTCCCACTATTATGTCACATACCAAATGCCAGAAAAAAATGGTTTATGGACATTGAGATCTCCTTGAATGATAAAGGGATAATGGGCAATGCTTTGGGTACATACCAAAGTTCTACAGTTTAAGTAGGAGCAGAACTCAATGATGACTGCATGGATGAAGCAGGCCACAAGGGTAAAGGAAGGAATTCTGCAGATGACCACTGAACTTTGGGGCAGACTTCTAATTCTCAGGAAATGCTGGGTCTGTATGCAGCTGTCTTGTGTGGTGGAGCACTGAGCTTCAGGTGAACATCTTCTTAGTGAAGACCCTTCCAGTACTGGTCTGACTCTACCCACCCTGGCTGGACACTGTATCTTCCTGAGCAGGAAGAAATATAAAAGGCTACCCATTTCAGCTGAGCCTTGCTTGAGCAACAAAGTCTTCCTGAGCACTGGTGTGTTCGCTGAATCCTTCATTCTTCTTTGTTCGTGCCAGCTAGTTTGTCCTCCATTTCTGACTCCCAAACTCTTGGTTTGTCCTCCAGTTGTGGCCTGCTATTTGACCCTGACTCCTGGCTTGCTCCTTGACCACACCTCCACCAATGAGACTGGGTAATTTCAGTTGATTTCCAAGCTTGAGGCCGGCTTTTTTTGCCTCACTCACTCAAGATTTAAACAATACAGATTGTGGCCAGTGGCAGAAACTCACCTTGCAGGCTCTGATTGGCTTGCTTCAGTGGCACCGAACTGGAGTCAATGATGTCATTAATCTCCTGTGAAGAACCAGGAAAGTGATGAAATACAGTATGCTCTGCAGAGGAGGGGGCAGCAAGCGGGATCAAGATCCTGAACATATTTATGGTCATGGATATGAAATTATAAGGACAACAGCATGATGTGCATTGCTTGAACACAGAGGACTCAAAAGTGCCCATTGTACTGAAGTGCATTGCTTCCGCATTGTCTCACTCCCCAGTTTTACACCAATCCAGTTGAAAAGATTTCTTTGAACTCCTGAATCACTGCCAATTAGAATACATCTTTCCACAATACTTAATTGATGTTTGATTTAATTGATGTTTGTTTTCTATGAAATAGCATTATATAAATAGCCTAAATAAATAAATATTGTGTAGAAAGTCTACAAAATAAGCCCTAAAGACTACCATCCTGTGTACACTTACTGGGAAATCAGTCCCCTTTGAGCACTAATTTCAACATAAACACACTTAGGTTTGTCCTGCAAAAATATATGTGGAACTTCATAACGGATCACAGCTTAGAAGTAAGTGTTCATGAGTATCTTCCACCATAGAGGCAAATACTATTTGCAAAAAAATTGAGGAACCGAACATACAAAATTGACTACCATCTAATTCTGCAGGTGAAGAGACACTGAAGCCATAGCCAACCCAACATTTTGTGGACTGGGAGCACAACTGCAGTTATTTTGCCTCCAGGTATGGTGGGTGTTTCTATCCAGACCAGCTCCTCCCAATCCCCATGGTTAAGCATGGGTTAAAAAGATATTTCAGGCACATGTAGGTTTTGCAAATGGTTTCCCAAAGAACAATTTAATTCACTATTCAGAAACAGCTCTAGGAAGTTAGCAGGGCATGATATATTGGTCCCTGTGTTTCTTGTGGGAGCTGCCTTCAGTGGGAGGTACCATTAAACCAATATACCTCGGTAAACAATGTAGCTCAGCACCATTTTGATAATTCTTCTGTGTTAAGAGCAAAGCATGTTTGTGCCTTCCAGTACTATGAACAGTTTGTGCTGCTGTTTAAACGAGTGTATTTTTATATCCTTATCAAAGCAGATATGGAAAACAAGTGCCTGAGAAGGCACTGAAGTCCAGAACTACCAAGATGACTCCTGTAGCCCTGTCATGATCCCAGAATTCACCTTGTACCTGTGCTTGAAAAGCCATGGACCTCTATTCCTGGCACAGGATTCTTCCTCAGGTATCATATGATCCAGTTTCCCTTGCTAACTGATAGTGGCTAAGTAGTTTTCCATGGCCACTGAAGTGTTGAAAGTGCAGATTTAGGGCATGTCAGTGGGATAATGGCCGCTAAACAGTGCTATGATGCTCATAAGAAGTAGATCATTGGAGGTTGGAGGTAGGGATACAGAGGTGCACTTCTGGGGAACAGGGCAAGGCATATGGAGGCTGGTGTAGGAAACAAGCAGAGGAAGAGGAAGAACACCTGACTATGTAGGCAGGGCAGTAGAAGCGATCATACATGGAGGATAGGAGGACAATACAAAAGACACCTGCCTGCAGAAAGGAAGCAGGGGAAGGCGCATAATACAGCTTATAGACTATATACCTTAGGGATAGAGTTCAGGAACATGAACAGGTTGTCCATCGTATTGTTCAAAGTGATGAAGCCTCCACTGATTCCCTGTGATATCTGACGGTTGCTGACATACGCACAAATATCCCCAGCCCTGCAGTGAAGGAAGCAGGCAGAGTTGAGAGGACAACTCTTCATACTGATGTTGCTTCTCCTTTTCCTCAAAGAGGAAAAGCTAGTAATATCATGCAACCAGTCAAAAAACATAACAACGGGTACCAACAAAGTTGTGACTTATTTATGAAGTGTCTTGTTTGACATTGTGCCATTCTGGGGGGAGCAAATGTGGGATACAGTGTAAGCAATGTGAGCAGGTAATGAGAGCCAGTGTGGTGTAGTGCTTAAGAGCGGTAGATTCGTAATCTGGGGAACCGGGTTCGCGTCTCCGCTCCTCCACATGCAGCTGCTGGGTGACCTTGGGCTAGTCACACTTCTCTGATGTCTCTCAGCCCCACTCACCCCACAGAGTGGGGAGAATGTTAGCCGTTTTGAGACTCCTTCGGGTAGTGATAAAGCGGGATATCAAATCCAAACTCTTCTTCTTCTCTATACCTACTGGTACCCCTGCAAAGGCAGCAGTAAAACTGCAGCATGTGACTTGCATGTCTGTGTGATTCGTCTCCAACTATTTACTCTGTAGCGCCCACTCTGTGCTTGCAACACATTGTAATCTTGATAGGTTGATTTTGGGGGTGCCTGGTGGATGCACTCCCCTTGCCCCTGGTCAGAGGTTAATCCAGGTCACTTTTAGATCCATTCCAACTTTATGATACTGAAATAATTCAGCACTTCATAGGCACCCTGGTTTCCCTCGAGTCTGCAAGAACCTCCTTAGAACTAGTGCAAGGACAAATGGTGCAGAAAGGGCTCTGGCAGTTGCTTGTGCCTGTGGTGGCATGCTCCAGAGTAAAAGCCAGCCATGCCACAGAAGGCTCCTGGGAGTCTCCCTTCACACATTTATGCTCATGTGCCTCAAGGTTAATTAGTGACCGGCTGCTCAGACTTGAACCATGTGCTGAATTGATAGGAACAGTGATGCTGGAGGTCAAGTCTGACTGGAAATAGTGTCATTCATCATTTCCCCTGGACTCCAATGTAACTCTGTAGTTGTTCAGTGAGGAGATATACTTGCTTGAGAACTGGCAAGAATTAAGGCCTACTTTGATCATACTGCACTGCTAAACGTCTCTAGTGGCTGATCTCCCAGCTCCCCAAAGGTTTGGAAACTCAATCTCTGCTGCCAGAGCTACTAACCTCAACTTTTCATTTCACACAATAGAAGTAGCTTACACGCACAGTGCAATTTCCTGTTGGGCCTCCCTGCAGGGACCATCCCATCCTCCCTCAGCTCCAAGAAGCCATTCCTTTGCACAAGACCATCATAAAAGGCTGTGGGCAGACTTAAAAGTGATGCCAAGTAGACAAATAAATTGTCTCATTTAAACTAGACCTGCAGCCACTATGTTTACAACATCAGCACATAAGAGAAGTGCCCACCTGGCCTACAAACATTGTACATGCAGGTGAGACAAGCCAATTCATATCAGACAGCTAAGCAGGTGCATCTTGCTTGAAATTGGGTCCGAATGGCAGTAGCTGTATAGTTGGGGGCTGCTCCATCACCTGACCTCCTGTCCAGCTGAGTTACCAGGATGGAGGGTGGGAGGTAAGGTCAGCATGTTGCAAGCATGCTGGCAGAAGCACCAGATTGGCTCCACTGGTGCATTTGCACTGCACCAACCTCATCCCTCAAGGGGCGCGGGTGGCGCTGTGGGTTAAACCACAGCGCCTAGGACTTGCTGATCAGAAGGTCGGCAGTTCGAATCCCCACGACGGGGTGAGCTCCCGTTGCTCAGTCCCAGCTCCTGCCAACCTAGCAGTTCGAAAGCATGTCAAAGTGCAAGTAGATAAATAGGTACCGCTCCAGCGGAAAGGTAAACAGTGTTTCTGTGCGCTGCTCTGGTTCACCAGAAGCGGCTTAGTCATGCTGGCCACATGACCCGGAAGCTGTATGCCAGCTTCCTCGGCCAGTAAAGTGAGATGAGCGCCACAACCCCAGAGTCTTCCGCGACTGGACCTAATGGTCAGGGGTCCCTTTACCTTTACCTTTAACCTCATCCCTCAGCCACTCTGTCGCAGTATGCTGTACTGACTCAGCCAGAGGGAAGTCAGGTGAGCAGCACAGCCTCACCATGCTATCCACTACTGCTGAACAGGCAACGTAGACAGACTGGAATAAACTCCTTGCTGAACTGGTCACAGCAATAACCCACTCCCACACTGTTCGTTGATGCTCAGTATAGTACTCAACTCACACGAGAATGGTAGAGACAGCTAGCAGGAATGCAAATAACGTCCGCCTCTTGCAATTGGTGTTTTTCGTCTGCTTCTGGTACATGGAGCCGCCACAGTGCCCACAGCAGCGGCAGCAGCAGAAGAACAAACCCACCAGGGGCACAAGGATGATGAAAAGAAGACCAATGACAAGGCAAACAAGGAAGCCTGCTTGGTATACCAACATCTAGAGATGCGGAGGGGAGGAGAGAAGAAAACAAACAGACACAGTAGTCAGGTATGATCATTCAAAGACGCTGACACCTGCCTGCCCCAAAATAAAAGTGTGAAGGGCTCATCACAGGGTGGTCCCCAAGAGTCCACTGATGGTTCTTCTTCAAAAACAATCTGGATTTATTAGAATGTTTTCTTGGCCGTGTACTGGACATGAAGTTTGTTATTCTGGAGTCCACTTTGCTCATCTAGAGGTAGTGACCTAGCAGCATATACCAGGGCTTACAGGCTTCTACCCCTGCTCCTGCATTCCTGGCAAGGATCAGGCTGCTCTTGTTAGTCATCAGGGTATATGTGTGCTTGCACAGGGCATTGCGTTCTTGCACACGGGCTTCAAAAGTTCCCACCCAGAGTCACACATAATCACAGGTCCAGTAATCCCTATGAACAATGTGGCTGTGGATGCTCAGACCTCAGAAGGCCTTCCCCCTTAGCCTTCCAGGATAATGTAAACAGCGCATGCTAGCACCAAAAGTGTACTGGGAAGGCATGGCACTGTCTAGGCAAGCTTGGCCTAGTCTGATCCTCCAAACCAGGGTTTTCTTCTTCCCTAGCACTCTCCTTCCAACGCCCCAGCTGTCCTGAAATAGGGGCCATCATGCATCCCCGAGTCCCTATCAGAATCTTTACTGGCTTTATGAAGCTTGCAGAGAGCAACTGAGTATGTTTTCATTTGTACTATTTGTTTGTTTGTTTGTTTGTTTGTTTAGACACTGACCACATTTGACTTCTGGGTGAAGTGTCAACCTTTTGGTGTTTGCTGAGCCTACCACACCAACATTTCCTTTTCAACCCTGCCCAGCTTCACCAACTGCCACCCACTAGCCTCTGAGTTCCATGAGCCAATACAAAAAATAAATAAATCACCTCTTTATACACTGCTGGGTCTGTGAAATTAACCCGGCGCTGGATCAGGCGAGTCAGAAGATCTGAGGAGAAGAACAGAGGGGTCAGCAGTGGCAGGGAGGGGAAAGAGGGAATATACCATCACCTACCTTACTGGGCATTTGTGCATCACTCAACACTGAGATCTCTTTGGAAATTCCTACCCGTAGCCTACGTTACCAGGATGAGACCCTATTTTCTCCAGCTGTCCTTCTCCAAAGCTCTCCTGCTATAACCCATTTGAATGACTCTATGCACATCACATATGAAATTTCTTTCTCTCTTTTTATTTTGTGCCATGTGCTATAGTGCTCAATAAACATTATGCTGATAGAAAAGAAACTTTTTCCCCCTTTGCAGCCCAAGTTAAGCAATACCCCACTTTACCACTAAGGGGTGCCATACTGTATGCTTAGCAAACATGGCCTCTGAGCTTCAACAGCTCTGAAGAGGAAAATGCTGTAGAAAACAGACCAGACCTTCAGGCTTGTGAGGTTTACTTGGTTTTAAGTGGAACCCTGAGATCCATCACCCAGAGCATAATGCAAAATACATCTACTTAGCATTAAATAATTCTGAGCCTATGTTCCTTCCACACAAAAATTCACACCAAGCTACCCCAAGCTCGTTTCATTTCAACAATATAATTTGGAGAAAAGGGATCTTTTTGCTGCCACAAAACAATTGGCAGTTGGAAACCCTTGCTGATCTACTGCAAATCACTCAAAGATCTACCAGTAAAGCTAAATCTGCCTTCTGCCCACTCTGATCTAGCAGGTGAAAACATAAGCGCCTAAGATGAGCCTCGCTAAACCAGGCCAGCAGCCCACCTATGTATTCTTCTCCCACTACTGAGCAGCTGGTTTTAGCCTGTAAACATATGGGACTGAGAATATCAGTTTCTCCAGGTTTTAGGTAAAACTAGCAGGCTTGAAGGGACGCGGGTGGTGCTGTGGTCTAAACCACCTGTAGTGACTTTGGGTGGTATTCAACTGAATTTTACCTACTGAAATGAACAAATGTGACTAAGTTAGGTTCATTCACTTCAACGGGTCTACCCTGAGTAAAACTTTGTTGAATGCCTCCCTTTGTTATGCAAGCAGGTAAGACTCATCATTATACACAATCAGATTTAAAACCCAGGAAAAAGAAAAATGCACTGACAGTAAATTGAGATGTGATTCACAGAATTACATAAAGACAAATAAGCAGTGTTGAGCCTCGAAGGCTGGAGGCGAAAGACTATGGGGCTATGACACCAGGATATGATCTAACTATTAGTCTGCAGGGTAGCATTACTGAACGGGAAGTTCCTGCATTAACAAAAGTTGTGGGCAGCGGGGTGTGTGTGTGTGTGTGTGTGGAGATTAACAGCAGCACTTTTCCTGAGCAACGGAAACACAGCGACTAGTTCTGGTGCTTTCATAATAAAGTTGCGAGGAGTTTTCAAGAAGAACAAGATGTAAAAAGCACTGGAAAGCACAGAAACATCAAAAAGCAAGTCAGAGTCCATTTTATGCTGAATATTTATCTAAATATAGCAAGAAGTATGCCAAGGCTCAGGTCTGGCTAAGGACAAGCTGACTGACTGGAAACTGGACACGGGTGGTGCTGTGGGTTAAACCACAGAGCCTAGGACTTGCCGATCAGAAGGTTGGCGGTTTGAATCCCCGCGACAGGGTGAGCTCCCGTTGCTCGGTCCCTGCTCCTGCCAACCTAGCAGTTCGAAAGCACAATAAAAGTGCAAGTAGATAAATAGGTACCGCTCCGGTGGGAAGGTAAACGGCATTTCCGTACGCTGCTCTGGTTCGCCAGAAGCGGCTTAGTCATGCTGGCCACATGACCCAGAAGCTGTACGCTGGCTCCCTCGGCCAATAAAGCGAGATGAGCGCCGCAACCTCAGAGTCAGTCACGACTGGACCTAATGGTCAGGGATCCCTTTACCTTTACCTTATGCTAAGGCTCAGGTCTGGCTGAGGACAAGCTGACTGACTGGAAACTGGAATCTCTATTGACAGTATGGAGTGGTATGGAGACAGGAGAGGGAATGGAGGAAGAGTCTCTGCCACATGTCCGATACAAACCAGTGTGTGCAGACCTCACACCAGAGAGGGTTAGGAAGCTTTTCTCTTCTTTGGATAGAATGGCCTTATAAATGTGTGCAAACAACCAGACCACAGAAAGTTAAATCGGAGCCAAGGCCTGCATGCACAGAACACACACACACACACACACACACAATGCCCAGGGCTCCGTTTTGGAGTGTGTAAAATAACAACAAAGCATAGGGGTGCCTCCAGGGAGGAAAGCACAGTGAGCTTCAAAGACCTTACTCTCTGCCTCTTATAGCGGAGGATACTTTCCAAGACTGTTTAACATTTTGTACTAATCTTTCAGCATTTGAGTGCATGAGGCAGTGTCCATTAGCTGTTGCTGCCAAGAGGCAAGCAAACTGGACTCTACTAACCAGGCAGGCTGCAGGCTACCAGTGATGGTCCCCATAAGGATGACCTCAAGGGATAGGAACCCTTTTGGTTTCTTCCCTTAGGGGAAACATAAGGGGAGCAAAGTATGCACCCCCATGAAAGTATCAGATAGATGATGAAAGGCCCCTGAGAGAGAGGCAGGGAAGTGAAGATATCCCAGGGTGAAAAACGAGAATAGAGGGAAGGTGGGATTAAGAGCTAGTTCTGTATACAGAAAAGTATGTGCGTTTGTACACTATTTCTGCACTTTAGATATCCAGCAGGTTTTCCTCTCCCATATTTATCAAGAGGCTATTGTTCTTAGATATGCGCTATGTTCTATAGTTGCACCTGAGATAAGTAGGCAATAACTCTGTTGAGTTGTGATGTTCACTGCTGGGAAGACATAGTGTATAATTTGACATTACTGCTTAGTATGTCTTGCTCATAAAGTATTATGTACTATTATACAATTCATAATACGCAATAATTGGTATGTATATAAACTTTTTTTTTAATTGTATGGATATTTAGTAACGTATTGACATATATTGCTTATTATGTTCTATACTGTAAATCACCCTGTGGCCATTTGATGTATATAAATTAATAAATAAATGTAAAAATAAATAAATAAACTGCTACTAAGAAAATTCAGCACGCAGCTCTTCTTGAGAAACTGGGGGGTGGGCACGGCTTTCAGTATGGCTCTCTGCTAGGCTTGAACCCCAGTTCCTCTGACTCCAAGAAAGTACAGGCTGTAGCCATCTTTGAAAATATGACTGTGATTAAATCATCAGAACATCAATAAATGGTTCAGTATTCTTAGCAGTATTGCAACAAAGGCAGCGATTTTTAGCCCTCATGCTAGAGAAGCTGGGAAATGCAACCACAAAAATAAAGAAACCACATCATAAAAGAACATAAAAGGTCAAAATGTGTAAACCCTGACTCATGATATTTGAACGCCCAGAGTGGACAATGGCCCCACACAACTTGAGGACATGGCTCTGAACCAAGCCTTTAAAAACTTTATAATGCTTACTGTGGACCCATGTGGATTTCGGAAGAGAAGATTGCAACAAGAGGTGCTGTCATCCAGGACAGTTCACACCTGTGAGCCGGGCTCCTGGTTTATTCCTCCCAGACAAGCCACGAGTGGTAAGCCACAGAACAAGCCTTGGCTACAGCTCATGGCTTTTCTGGATTGAGACAAACCGTGAGGTTCAGATGTAACCCTAAGACAAACTACAGTGGTGCCCCGCAAGACGAATGCCTCGCAAGACGGAAAACCCGCTAGACGAAAGGGATTTCCGTTTTTGAGTTGCTTCGCAGGACGAATTTCCCTATGGGCTTGCTTCGCAAGACGAAAATGTCTTGCGAGTCTAGAGATTTTTTTTTTGCTCCCCCCCCTTTATCTAAGCCGCTAAGCCTTTAATAGCCTTTTAGCAGCTAATCCGCTAAGCCGATAAGCCTTTAATAGCCGCTAAACCGCTAATAGCGCTAATCCGTTAAGCCGCTAATAGGGTTGCTTCGCAAGACGAAAAAAACGCTAGACGAAGACACTCGCGGAACGGATTAATTTCGTCTTGCGAGGCACCACTGTATAGCTTGCAGCAGCAAGGCAGGAAGAGCAAAGCAGCTGCGATTTTCTTTCCAGTAACCCGAATGTTTGCTCATCTGTGCCAAGCCACTGTTTGGTTTAGTGTGATTGTATAATGGGCCATGGAGTCCTTGGTGACAGCACTTCTTGTCCCTCCCTCCCAAGACATCCACCTTCCCTTTCCAGTTCCTCCTTCCTGGTCCCATTTGCCATCTCTCTTGCCTCCATTCTTTCCCTTCCTCCTCCCTGCCCCCCAAACACACTTCTCTCTTCTGCATCTGGGAATCAGATCACTTAGGAATTTTTTTTAAAGAGAAGTTAATGATTGACTGAAGCTGGAACAGCTCCCTTGCTGCAACCAGTTATATTGGTACCCATGCATTCTATGAAGAGTGCCATTCCTGCCAAAGTGGGTGGAGTGCTGACATCAAACGAATATTCCTATCTGCTTCGGTTTCCCTTGATGACCTGTTAAATCCCATTGCCCTCCCAAGGCTTGGGATAAAATAGCTCAATTCCTCACTCCCTCTGCCCCACACTTCTTACAGAGGACTTAAGGGTACAATTTTCCTGTGGAATCCATTCTCTGCCTAGTTTATCCCGCCACCAGGGGCCACATCTAATCTTGATGAAAGGTATATTTTAAAAAATCACTACTGAGGGCATCAGGGGTTTATGATGGAAGGACAGACAAATATGCTGGGGTGTCTATTTTTGGCTGGGTTCTGCAGTTTGGCAAAGTCCGTGCTAATGGCGCGGCTCAGGCCCAGTTCTTCAGGTTGCAAACGTGCTGCACAGTGAAGTACTGCCTAACCAGTCTTTGTATAATTATGTGAGACTGCCAACAAAAACATGGAGATCAATTAGACTGATCCAGTTGACAAAACTGGACTGCCAGCAAACATCTGAGAGAGTCTCCCACCAAAAGCTCTTGAGTAAACTTAGCAGTCATGGGATAAGAGAACAGGTCTGCTTATGAAATGGCAAGTGATCAAACAATCAAAAGCAGAGGGAATAAACAAATGGGGGAAATAAGCCATGAAGGCCACCCTGAAGGACTTTCTATTGTGAGAAGCAATATTTAACTTGTTCACAAATTATCTGGAGGCAGGTATGAGATTTGCAAATGATCGCCAAAATATTCAGCATAGTAAAATCCTAAGGAGACTGTAAGGTACTCCAAAAGGATCCCTCAAAACTGTGAAGGGACAGCAAAATGACAGATATTTGGTTCTTATGCTGTGTAGCATATGTGATCTGGACAATAAAACCCAACATTTCACAGATAGACTGGTGGGTTCCTGAACTGGCCATAATTAGCCAAATTTAGGGACTGTGGCACATTGCAAATATAAACCCAGCAGGGAGCACCAACAATGGCAGCAAATGGCATGTTAGAAGCTGTTATGAGCCGTTCTGAAAATGAAATGTTTCCCCGCACACCTCATTCAGCCCTTATACAGCTTTTTAAAAGCATTGCATCTTTTAATCACTATTAGCTACAATGGCTAAAAGGAACCTCGCTTGTCAGAGGCATGAGGCAAAGAGTAGGGAACCTCAGGCCCAGGGGCATAATGTTATCCTCCAAGTGTCTCTATCTCACAGTCAGAACTCTCCCCAGGCCACACCCCTCGTTGGCTCTCCTCTGCAGACCTAATGCTTTTGCCTGGCAGGAATGAGCCCCTGAACTCTGGTAACACCTCTTGCCTGCCTGGATGGATGAAAGAGAGTGTGAGTGCGTGTTAGGAAAATAGCCTTATCTAGGAAAAGTAATATTTGCATTAATTGCTCTACCCACGTGTTCCTTTTTCCACACCCATTACTGGCATGCAACCCTTGGAAGGTTGCCTGGAAGGGAATGTGGCCCCAGGACTGACAATGCACCCCTCCCCCCAGCAATAAACCTCTGAATACCATATATGGGGACCAACAACAAAGAGGAAGCTTTTGGCTTCATCCCTTACCTGAAGCATCCAAGATGGCCAGTCTTGGAAGCAGACCCAGCTAGACCTTCAAACTAATCCAGCATGGCTGTTCTTAGGCTGGACCTTGTTCATTTCCCCCTTTTACATTTCACGTGCCCCAAAAATACATTATGAAAACCTGTATTCCTGTACATACACCTAAACTTAAAACAGTATACATCTGCTTTTTTTAAAAAAAAATCTTATTAAGTGATCCATGAGTTGGAACTGGTCTTTGCTTTTCTGGAGAATTTGTGGATGAAGTAAGGCTCTAGCATTTCCCAGCAAAGGTATCTTTGTGCTTTGTTCCTCTTGCCAGTCTTAATTTGTGAGTCAATTTTTCCCATAAGGGCAGGGATCTTATTCATACCTAACCAATTTGATGGTTTGAAGGTCAAAAGGGGCACCAATCCTCACTAGCTATTACAAACCATTAAATTGTGACTAGCTAAACAAACAACAAACCATTAAATTGTGACTAGCTAAACAAACAACAAACAACAAACCTTTAAATTGTGACTAGCTAAATCATTGATTTTAGGAGTCTGTCTGTGTCTGGTCTTTAAAGGAGCACGAGTCAGTAACTGTTGGGAAGGTCACGAAGTTAAGGTTGCTAACCACAAACAGAACATGAGTCAGCATGCAACACACTGCTACAAAAAGAGGACCCAACAACGTTTTAAGTTGCATCACAAGAAGAAATCATAATCTCAGGGCCTTCTTCGTGATTATCCCAGATAACACAGCCTACCTCAAGGCCAAACTAGATGAAGCAAAGGCTGCCACGCTTCTTTAATCATGTCTCCCTCCTATTCATATATAACACAGAGAATGAGGGACATTTTTAAATGACAAGGCCATGCTGGTGGTGTCAGGTGACCTGTGCTCTGACCTCAGAGAGCCTTTAGCTGTAGTTATCCATGCTCTGGTAACTTCCAGGTTTGACTACTGCATAGGACTGTATGTGGGGCTGCATTTGAAGGCTGCCTGTAAACTGCAATTATATGCATAGCTGTCAACATTTCCCTTTTTTTAAGGAAATTCCCTTATTCCGAATAGGATTCCTCGCAAGAAAAGGGAAAAGTTGACAGCTATGATTATATGTGAAATGGGCAGAGATGCAATTAAACAAATCATTGGTAGTGAGGGGCCATTTGTATTTTCTGTCACCGGAACCAATATGTTCAGAGCTGTCTCTGGATACTCCCTCTCTCTTTCTCGCCAGAGACCTCTAAGACCTTCTGCTGGAGTTTTACATGAAAGTCTGGCGCCATTTATTAGAAAGCATGACACAGCTTGGAGGTTTATCATGCAAAATGCATGTGGGCAGGCTGAAAGTTAGTTATGTGGCTCCTCTTAAACTGCACAAAGACGTATACAGAAACAGGAGTGGGTGTGGACTTTTGTTTTGCTGCAGGGTGCCTGCTGCTTCCCTCTGCCTTCCCTCCTCAAAGGACACACACAGTAGTTATAAACTAGGTGCCTATTGTCTCCTGTGCTTCAGACACCGTTTTCATTTTGTGTTGTTTTCTCAAGTGCCTGCATGAATAAGTCATCAAACATTTGTTCAGCAATTTATTTTTCTTTTTAAGATTTTTTTTTTTTTTACACTTAAAAAAACCTGTTCTGGCGATTGGCACAGGAGCCTGAAACAAGCAAGCAGGCAAATGGAGCAAGGGGAGAAATAAAAGCCACATTCCTGTGCCCACTTACACAGGAGCATTTCCCATTAAGCTCACTGGAGCTTACTTCTGCACAGACATGCACAGAATTGCATTGCATGCTGTTCTCTCAGTAGATATGAAGACTCTCCAAAGGTTGGCTCATATTTTTTCAACATTTGAGGAAGGAATATTGCACAATAAACGCACCCAGCAGCTAATGGTATGTGGCTTCTATCTGCCAGACTCACTGATGTGTAAATTATGCCCCATCATCTCCTCCACCCACTTTTTTAGTCATACTGTCACAAGTATGGACTCCGAAAACAAAAGACACAATATCTCATCCTAGCGTAGTAAAATACAGTTTTCTGGTTGTATCCAAAGTCATCCCGTTAGTACAAGAACTTCCACAAGTGTAATGGGAATTCCTCTCCCTCTCGTCTACACACTCACAAATCTGTTCCAGGGTTTTCCCCAATCCTAAAGATTGTGGGTGTGGGTGTACATGGGGAGAGGCAGTACTGCTGTACAGGTGGAACTCCACGCACTAACAGGCCAACTTTGCAGGGTATAGCCCTTTGTCTCCAGCACTAGGTAGACAGTATATCCCTGCATTGTGCCATAGTAAGGTACTGGAAACTCAAAAGTTGTTTGCCATCCACACCTCTTATCAGTTATCAATTCTTGTCTCATCCTGGGAAAGTTGTCAACTGCAACATCTATCCCAAAGGGAACTTCTCAGTACGTGCAGGTCCTGCCAACTAAACACAATGTGTTCCCTGAAATCGTTTGTTTGGCAAGCATTTGAATAACAAGTCATTGATCTCCATTTATTCCTATGGGGAAATATATAACGCATTCCTGATCATTGAATTTTGACTCCCCCCACCCCCGCAAAAATTAAACCAGGAAATCCCTCTGCAAAATGCACTCTGATTTGTCCCATCAGTTTCCCCTCTCTCCAACAAGCAAACAAGGAAGGAAAAAATGCTCTCGGTTCTGATATCTGAATCTGTGATGTGTATAGCGAGGTTCAGGTGTTAATTCCTCATGTTCAGTAAGTGAATATTCACCTAGTGGGTGCTTGGAAAGTAGGATCTGTGTGCATAATGGAGAAAATAAGCTGTTGATCACAGTCTTTGGAGAAGATATGTTTTCCCTTCACAGGCTCATAACCCAATTTTATTCTGTACCACAGTAGCCCTTGATAATAGGGAAGACCTGGTCTGGCAAAACCTGCCTTGCTATACCACTTACCTGCTGGGAAGGTGTTGGGTTGTACCATCCCTAGGAAGGAGTGCACCATACTGTACAAGTCCAGCAGACCACCACTTGGGCCAGTGGGTTGTGGGTGATATTGAGGTTGTGTGAAGTTTTGCAGAGCCATCTTGGTAGTAGAAATGCAGGGCCCTTTCAAAGTTCCTGGGCAAGCTCAGAAAGATCCTGAGGAGCTTCAGATCATTTCCTTCACAGGAATCCCTGCCTGTGCAGTGCCCTAGAAGGACAGCTGGCCTCTGCAACGGTTTCTTTTCACCCTTCCCTTGGATGCAAAGGATTTGAGAATTTTGCCCCACCAGACCAGGGAGCTCAACTGCCTGCCTGCAATAAAGCAAAGGTGTTAGTGAGTTGGTGCAGCTCAGAAGTCAACCAGGAAAAGACTGCAGTGGTGTGGGGGGGGGTGGACATGAAATAGCACCAACTTCCTTGTCCAAGTTGGGATGTGGGTGGATAATGTAGTCCACAGGGATGTTCTGGAGTTAGGACAGAGGACACAGAGGTGAAAATAAGAGGCCCTTAATGCAATCCACAAGCTCATGCCCTTAACTCCCTCCTCACCCAATTTTAGCCAAATCATGCCACCCCATAACCTTCAAACAGTAGCTTAGGGGGCTGGCACAGAAGGTTAGGAGGCATATGCCCTACCTGTCATCTGAATACTTCCACCTTCCCCTCTGCCAACCTCAGTCATAGCCAACAGTATATGGGCAAGAGCACAGCAAGAAAATGCAAACGATTGCAAGGAAAGGAAGACTTCAGGAGTTCAAACACTGACCATGATGCAGCAGGGCCCAGTGTTGCAGTCATGTCGATGAGTTCATTATTTTCTAACAACTTGTCCCAAGTTGGGGCCCTTCATACGCTTTGGACTACAACTCCCATTAGCCTCTGTGCTGGCTGGAACCGATAGGAATTGCAGTCCAAAACATCTGAAGGGCACCAGGCTGGGGAAGGCTGCCTTAGAATTAAAGCACAACAAAGCCATTTTTGAACCTTACCTTACCACCCCCAAAATGGTTTGAACAACACTGGCTGCAGAGCTGCATCACCCAAATGAATTGTTCGGTTAGCAAACCTTTTCTGAGATGGAATGTAGCAAGTGATTTGTTATCATCACCATCACCACTGGATCTCTATGTATTTACCGGCAGTCGCTGCCTGACAAACCAAAATTCAACAGGTGATGCATTTTCCAGCATAGAATTCAGCAGGGAGGGGACAACTTTATGTGCTTATTTTCTGCCTTCCTGAACTACAGAGTTCATTGGAGAAAAATAATCATGTCAACAGCACGTTTGCGCTTTTAGAGGACTGCACATGAGCCTAGATAACTATTCTAGCTAAAGGCTGGAAATATTGTCCCTCTGAATATTACTTGGAAGGAGAGCGAGGAAAGCAGGACAGAAGCTTTAGCTGAGATTCCTGCATTGAAGGGGTTGGACTGGATGACCCTCGGGATCCCTTCCAGATTCAAAGCTGATGTGGAAGCTTTCCGGGGCCCCAGGATCATGGGGGGGGGGCAGAAACAGGTGGCCGGACAAGATGAGCCTCTGGCCTGACTCGGGGCCGGAGCATTTCTCAGGTCCTTGCGAAGCCCATGGCAGAAACAGCGCCTCTTTCGCGCCAAACTCGAGCCTCTACCACTCCAAGAACTAACATCCCAGACAGCAGCCCCCTACTCAGGAAACACCAGCCAGAACCAAGAGGCGAAGCCAAAAGGATGAAACACACCGGCCGTCCCATCCGTCCCACCCTCCAAGCAACCCAGCCCGCACACTTCCTCCCGGAAAGTCCTTCTCACCGAAAATTCTCCTCACCTGCGGCGCCCCAACGAGGCAGCACGGAGGAGGAGGAAGTAAGCGGCGCTGCCGCCGGCGCCACGGAGCTCAGCACCGGCTGTGAGGGAGGCACGGACTCGCCCTCCCCGCGCCACGCCAGGCTCCGGAGACCCGCCAAGCGCCACCGTCCGCCGCCCGGGAGGGAGTTAGGAAAGTCTCAACTTCTCCTCGCGCGCGCGCGCGCGCTCCGACTCCCTCCCCTCAGCCCGCCCGACAGATCCCACGCTTGGTCGCGCTCAGGCCGGGGAGAGGCAGATGGATTCAGAAAGCCGCCCAAACCAAGCGCGCCTGGGGAAGGATTAGCCTCACCTGCCGCTGCCCCCTCGCGGACACTGGGGGGCGCAGGAGAAGGAGAGCAAAGGCTACAGCGAGGGCGCTCCGTCGGGCGCCGGTGCCCATAGCGGATTTCTCTCGGCGTGGAGTGAGGGGGCTGGACCCAGGAGAACAGCCTCACCTCCTTTCCAGTCCCCGCCCTGCCCTCCCTTCCGTTCCCCGGCCCGCCTGTCGGCCGCTTTCTCTCAGTCGGTGCTCTGGCCCCTCCCAGCTGCCCGTGCCCCCTCCCCGGCCCGGGAGCAAGCCAGGACATCCGCGCGCAACCCCTGCGCCCCCCAAGGCCATCCCCGGCTCCCAAAGGCCGGAGCCCGCAGGAAACTCTTGAGCGCAGCCCCTTGCAGACTCGGGAGCTTTGGAGACTCTTAGATGCTCAAGGGAAGAGGGCGGGAGGTCCGGACAGATGGAGAATTGGATACTTCCCCAACTCACCAGACTGTTTCTGTCTCTCCCCCGTGCGCAAGATGGTTCCTCAGCAACTTTGTTTTTCTGCATTTCCAGCTCTTTTATTCATTTATATTTATTAAAATATTTTTATGCAGTTAAAACCAATGCATTAAAAAACCCTCTAATAAACACAGTAATAAAGCTTTCCAATGGCTATTTTCAATAAAACACTAAACACAAAACTTTATTCTTTTTACTATTCACTTTGTGAAATGAATGGTTATTAGTTTTAGCTGTAGCTAGCGTTGTACTGAATATACAGTAATTAAGGATTTTCTTCCATTATACATTATTATTATATTATTATTGAAGAAAAAAGCTTGTACACCACGCTGGATGGACATTATAATAATAGCATAATAATGTTCTTAACCCACACACTAAATATTATTGCAAACTGCCCGATCCTAGCTAGATTTTAGTATCTCCAAAGAGTGTAAATCCATAAGTTGTACTGGGTATGTATCTTCTGGATCTTTATTCTCAATGTACTTTTGTTCATCTCTTGGATATTTTATGATCAAGGGGGTTACCAGTTTTTATTTTAAAATCATAAATAATAGCACTGGAGAGGATCTGTTATTAGTGGCTAGGAAACAAATGAGCCAAAAGGCAAGTCTTTAACTGACTGTGAATGCACACAACTGTTCTGTGGGCTTTGTGCATATGCTGCCATGAGGAGGTCTGCTTTTTGTAAACACTGTGGCACTCTCCTGCAAATATGGGGAGTGTCTTGAACGTGCAAAAACTCTTACCTAGTCTGTATTTTGCTGCCACGCTATTCGGGTTGGGATCACCAAATCTGATTAACATTATTATTAGGGTTGTCTTTGCCATTATGCATGAAATTGTGGGTCTTCCTCACACAGTGGATTTTAAGCTACTAAGTTGTCAAGTGTTAATTACGTTACCATAGGGCTTCCATTTGCATTTTTTGCCTCCGCTACCAAATATCAGGCCGCCTTTTAATATTATTATTCCCAAAATAAGATAATCTATCAAAATGTAATCATTCTTTTCACCCTTCCCTCATCCTCAAGTTTATTTAATTCCACAGTTCATCCCCTTGGATTCCATCTCTGGTAATAATTTCTTACCATTTGAGAGCCAGCGTGTGGTGGTAGTCGTCTTAGACCCGGGAGACCAGTGCTTAAACCCCCACTCATCCATGAAAACCACTGGGTGACCTTGGGCCAGGCTCTGTCTCTCAGCCTAGCCTACTTCACAAGAGAGCGGAAGAAGGGTGTACACCACCACCTTTAGCTCCTTGGAAAAAAGGTGGGTTATAAATGTAATAATTTAAAAATATGTAAGTAAATTTATGTACAACTTAATCTATAAATTATTTATAAACAGACAGAAACTCTGTATAGCCATTGTCATCATTGTTTATTTGTATATCACATTTTGGCACAAAGGTCAGTTGTCTTTTAATTAATATAATTTCAATACTTTTTAAATTTTGACACACCCCTATAATTAATAGAAATCATCTGCTCCCAGTTTCAAATTGGAAACCTATAATATATTTGTTTGCAAAACATCTGTGATTTATGGGAAAGTATCCAAAGAGAAAAGGCAAATGGTAGCAGAATTGAGGAAAATGACAAAATCTAAAAACATTGTTGAAGGAAGGATTTAAAAGTGTCTAATCCAGTTATATATATATATATATATATATATATATATATATATGAATGAATATAGTGGTACCTCGGGTTACATACGCTTCAGGTTACATACGCTTCAGGTTACAGACTCCACTAACCCAGAAATAGTACCTTGGGTTAAGAACTTTGCTTCAGGATGAGAACAGAAATCGTGCTCCGGCAGTGCAGCAGCAGCGGGAGGCCCCATTAGCTAAAGTGGTGCTTCAGGTTAAGAACAGTTTCAGGTTAAGAACAGACCTACAGAACAAATTACTGTAAGTTCTTAACCTGAGGTACCACTGTATACTACTTTTCAGGTAGAACTCACAAGTTTACATAGTATTACAAAAACAATAAGCATCAATTAAAAGCTGTACAGAAAAGACAAACAATGGAGGAAGCTTGTTTTTTCATGCTGCATTTTTTATCCAGGTTCTCTTGCAGAAGGAAAGTGCCGTCTCACCTGGAATGCTGGGACGTGGATACGATAAGGCACCAAGATGTTTCTGCTGCTTTCCAAAGCCTCTCAGGCCAATAATGTTATTGGAAGCCTATTATAGTGAAGTTGTCTGCTGATTGTGTAGTTCAGCCCTTGGTGATTGTGATTACTGTACAAAATAACCCTGGAAGGAATAGTTATTCAGGATGAATATTTGCATGGAATGCAAGAGTGTAATGCTATGCATGCAGGATTTAAAGTTTTTCAAACTATGGAAGAAGACTTAGGCATGTGGCACACTACTTCTCATTAAAGTGGTTCATCATGGTAAGTTGTTCAGGCTACTGGGAAATGGGGGGGGGAGAGATGGAGATTTAAATGTTAAGCAAACATTCAGGAACCTTCAGGAACCACTTGTTGACATTTCAGTTCCCATTTTATCAGTTTTGTGTGGCTGACATTTTCTGGGTTTTTATTGGTAAACATGTTTGCATAGACAAGTATATAATCTGGTTGATGGGACATAAACCATACTTTAGAATGGAACATCTTACCTTGTGACTGAAGAAGATGGCTCTTTAAATAGATTTTGCTGTTCAGTGATTTGGTTAATATTTTTCTTGGCAATGCCAGAAAGCTATTGCCAGGAGATGTAATGTTATTAGTGCAATCTTGTTATACTTACAGTACTGAATTGATGTGGTTTTGGGTATGGTGTTATATTGGCTATTATGTTGTGACTGTATTGTGAAATTGTTGGTTGGTTTTGAGATGTATTCCTGTTTTCTTTGTCATAAACCTCTTCACACAATTCTTTTCTGTGTAAAGGTGGCATACAAATAAATGGTGATGAGACTGAACCCCATAGAAAGTCATTATCTAATATTTGGTGTTTTTTAAACAACAACAACAACAACAAAAGGGAACATTTCTATGGCGAAGAGAAACTATGTTGTATGGGAGAGAGGGTCATTTTCAGCTGATGGGACTTGTAGTTAGGTTTGCCACCTGTCCTGTATTATACAGGATTGTCCTGCATTTCAATTTAAAATGCTATGCCCTGTATTGATGCAGTTTTAGCCTGTATTTCAGGTCTCCTCTTTCTCTTTCTGCCAAATTAGGCATCCTCATCAAATGCATGTCTGTGAAAGGTCACGTATTTAAGCTCTGGGTAGCCAAGTGAAGACAGATGTAAAAATTCATGTGCATGTTTGTGTGTTACAAATTCCAGAAGGGCAATCTGGTTAGGCTGCAATAGATTGCAATGGATTGGTCTGAAGTCACTTCATCACCAGATGGGGGAAAATCTCCCCCAACTACCCCACCCCTCCCTGTCCTATATTTTGCCAGAACAAAGGTGGCAACACTACTACTACTACTACTACTACTACTACTACAAATTGTAGTCCAAAATAACTGAGGGCACCAGTTTGGTGAAGGCTGTACCATTACGACAAGCTGCAGCTGGAGTGATATAGTACCCTGGGTTGACCTGGCATGCCGTACAATAATGGATTGTGCCTTGGTGAATCCCAGGCTTGGCTGCATGTAGGCAGGGCAGCTAGCGGTAAGCTTAGAGCAACTGAGAGGAGCTGAGAGGCAGAACCAAAAAAAAGGAAGCCACGCTGAGCAAGGCCTGGGTGTTGTGTGGAAATGCTCCTTGAGTGAAAACTTCAGGCACTGTGGGGAAGCATTTGGTGGAACAATGAGTTGAAGGAGACAGCAGAATAACATAAAAGCACTAGAAGTCATAATTAAAAGTGAAAGCCTATTAGTACTGATTTTCTTTATCAACTTTACAGTTAGATTATTGAGTTATTAACTGACACAATTGACTGTTGCTTGTTCACCTTATCTTTAGTAAGTATTTAATGGTATACTGTATGAGTTGTTGGGTAACACATTTGGTATTTTGTTAGCAACTCCTCTTAGAAGGAAAGCAGTTTCTTACTCTCATGCACTCAAGGCTTGTTAAATAATATTTTGATTTCATTTAATTGCTGCTGTCTCTGCCTGTTTCCAGAGCAAAAAAGAAAAGCTAAGCCTGTGCTCATTTATTTGGAAATAAGTTCCATTAAATAAAGTGGGATTTTCTTCGGAGTAAACACGACCAGAATCTGCTGGCATATTTGCTCAACCGAACCCCTCACTGGCCCTGTCACAAATGTTCTCGAGCATTAAAGTGTGCTCTGGCCCCCAAAAGCGTATGCCACAATATGTTTGTTAGTCTCCCCATGGTCTGAGTGACACTCTCTTGAATAGCAGACATGGCAGGGCATGAGGCTGTATCAGAGCACTAACTCAGAGGGTTTCAGAAAGACTTCAGTTCCTACCTTTAATAGGCATAATAAGCTAAATACATAAACAAACATTGCAATAACCTTCCTGTATTTTAAAGCCTAAGTAACAAACTCCAGCTGTGACATAGAAGTGAGATGGGCTGCTGACATGTTGTCCCTGGACCTTCCATTTTATGCAACTAGTAGAAGTTTATGTACGCTTCAATACATCATCAACAGTGAATAAGTTAGGGGAGTGATGCAGGCCCAGTTTTTACTATACCAGACAGGTTCACTCTGAGATTTGAATC